CCATATGGCCTAACCATTACACTCTTAGGTATTTACCTAGAAGAAATGAAAACATATGTCCACAAGAATACTTGTACTCAAATGTTCATAGTAGCATTATTCAAAACAGCCCAAAAGAGTGGGAAAAACCCAAATATTATTAACAGGTAAATGGATAAAGAAATTGGGGGATGTCTAAATAATGGAATATTGCAAGCAATTAAAAGGAATATACTATTGTTACACAAAGCAACATGAATGAATCTCAAAATAATTATGCTGAATGAAAGAAACCAGACCAAAAAAATTACACGCTGTATGATCCTCTTTATGGAATTCTAGAAAAATCAAACTAATCTATAATAACAGAAAGCTCAGTGATCACCTGGGGGGCAGCAGAGGGAGAGGGAAGGGCAAGATAAAGGTCATAAAAAGGAGCATGAGGAACCTTTTGGGGCTGATAGATGTGTTCATTACCTTGATTGTGGTGATGCTTTCATATGTGTGTACATAGGCCAAAACTTATCACATTGTACACTTTAAATATGTACAGTTTATTATGTGAATTATGCCTCAATCAACCTGTTTTAAAGATTTTATTTTCCTTTTCTTTTTCTCTCCAAAGCCCCCCAGTACATAGTTGTATATTCTTAGTTGTGAGTGTCTCTAGTTGTGGCATGTGGGATGCCGCCTCAGCACGACCTGATGAGCGGTGCCATGTCCACGCCCAGGATTCGAACCAGCAAAACCCTGGGCCGCCACAGTGGAGCACGTGAACTTAACCACTCAGCCATGGCACTGGCCCCCAACCTGTTTTAAAAATAGTAGTTTAAGGCCTCTGTCCAGAAACTTTAATAAGCTAAAATGCACATTACCAGGCACTAACCCTAGCTATCCTAATTCCATCATTCTAGTGGAGGACCCAGAAATCTGCATTTGTTACAAGTCCTTCAAGTAATTCTAATGCAGGTTGTCTCTAACCACCTTTTGTGAAACACTGGTCTAGGGAAGCTTATTGTGGATTTGCCTACCAAATATCTCACAGTTATGAGGATCAATTGAAAAAACAAATGTGAAAGGGTAAAGCCTACTCAAAGATGATTTTTAATTATTAAAAAAGAGTACAGTGAGTGACATCTGTGAAAATGGTACAGAAAAAAAAAAAAACCCTCCAAAAATTCTCTCCTCCACGAAAGCATGGAAAAAAACCTGGCTAAAATAGTCAGAAACAATATTTTAGAACACTGGAAATTAAACAAAGGCTTATAGTAATCAGGACATCATTTATTCAAGAAAAATGGCTGAATCTCAGTATGAACAGTGAGCTCTGTGGTGTTCTAATTGCCCTATTCCCATCCTACCCCTTCTCCTTGGTGGTAGCCTTGGAAACCAACAGCCTGTGAATCTGGAAATCTGGCAGCCATAGGACAGGGCAGAACAGGGTTGGAGCTCCTTCAAAGACTCATTCCCAGAGAACTGTCATTATTTGACTTGTCTGGGGGTTCTTTGGAATATCCTTCTTGAAAAGCTGTGTTTATTAGACCTGATCGAAAGCTTGCCCATTGTGAAAAGCCTTTTTTCCAGGGGCATTTGTAGAAAATGACTAGAGGCAATTGTTTAACTTCTTAACTGCCTGAGGCATTGGATAACAGATAGGGCAAAAACAGGCTAATCATAAAGTTTAAAAGAAAAAGCTTGGGAATGAGATAGCAGGTTTGAAAAGCTCCAAACTATTCCTGGGAATCTAGAAGGTAATGTGCACATGTCCAGGGCTGTGTGCAGGCTCAGGAAAGATCTGAGAAGGCCTTATGCTCTCACCTCTGTCTGATTTTGAGGCTCTGCACAAACAGGAAGTGAAAGCTAAGGTGAAATTGTCCCCTGCCTGGCTGAGTGTTGAAGGTGTGCCCCAGTATCAACACAAAGCCCCTTGGCAAAGACTGGAGTATTAATTTATTTTAGGTGTTTAAGGAAATTTTTGCCCAGTCATTAACTGAGCAGAGACTTCAGTGGCCACACATGACAATGAATACAGACTTTACAGAATCAGCTCAGAAAAGTAACTAAATAAACAAACAACAACAAAAACAACAAACGCTAACAACAATGAACACTGGAGATGAAGAAGTATCTGATTTTCAGAATAGCCACATTATATTATTTAAAATGTCCAGTTTTCAACAGAGACAAGAAAATATGGCCCAAAGGCAGAAAAAAAGAAAGCAGTCAATAGAAACTGTCCCCAAGGAAGCTAAGATATTGAACTTCCTAGACCAAGACTTTGTGTTCAAAGAGTTAAAGGAAATTGTATATAAAGAACAAAAGAAAAGTAAAACAACTTTCATAGAGAGAATATAAATAAAGAGAGAGAAATTATATTTAAAAAGGGCCAAATGGAAATTCTGGGTTGAAAAGTATGATAACTGACATAAAAAAAATTCACTAGAGTGGCTCAATACCAGATTGGAGCAGGCAGAAGAAATAAATCTGAGAACTTAGATATAGGTCAGTTGAAAATATCCAGTTTGAGGAAGAGAAAAGACAAGAATGAAAAAAAGAATGAACAGAGCCTTAAAGACCTATAGGACATCATCAAGCACACCAACACATCCATAATTGGAGTCCTAGAAGGTGAAAGAAACAAAGGGTCTGAAGGAATAGTTAAAGAAATAATGACCAAAGAAATAATGACTTAAGGAAAAAAATGACCAAAGACTTCCGAAATTTGATGAAAAACACTAATCTACAAATTCAAGATGATCTACAAACTCCAAGAAATACAAACTCAAAGAGATCTACACCTAGACATATCATAATCAAACTGTCAAAAACAAAGAAAGAATATGGAAAGCAGTAAGAGAAAAGCAACTTGTCACAAACAAGGACTCTTCAATAAGATTAATAGCTGATTTCTTATCAGAAACAATAGAGGCCACAAAACAGTGGGATGAACTATTCAAAGTGCTTAAAGAGAAATACTGCCAACCAACAATTCTATGTCTATGGCCAACTGATTCTTGACAAGGTTTAGTTCAGGCTGCTGTAACAAAGTACCATAGACTGGGTGGTTTACAAACAACAGAAATTTATTTCTCACAGTTCTGGAGGCTGGAAGTCTGAGACTAGGGTGTCAGCACAGTCGAGTTCTGGTGAGAACCCTCTTCTGGGTTGCAGATTGCTGACTTATTGTATCCTCACGTAGCAGAGAGCAGAGACAGAAAACAAGCTCTCTTGTGGCACTTATAAAGACACTAATTCCTTTCATGAGGGCTGCACCCTCATGACCTCATCTACTCCTAATTACTGCCCAAAGGCTTCACTTCCTAATGTCATTACATTGAGGGGTAAAGTTTCAACATATGGATTTTGGGGGAACACAAACATTGTTACAGCACTTGAGTCCTTAACAAGTGCCGAGACCATTCAGTGGAGGGAAAGAACAGTCTTTTCAACCAATGGCTTAGGAACAACGGGATATTCACAGGCAAAAGAGTAAATTTAAATACCTAATTCACTCTGTATACAAAAAGTAACTCAAAATAGATCAAAGACATAAATATAAGAGTTAAGACTAAATTCTTAGATGAAAGCACAGATGTAAATCTTCATGACCTTGGATTAGGCCATGGTTTCTTAGCTATGACACCAAAACATAAGCAACCAAAGAAAAAGTAGACAAATTAGACTTCATGAAAATTAAAAACTTTTGTGCTTCAAAAGATATCATCAGGAAAGTGAAAAGACAACCCACAGATGGGAAAAATATTTGCAAATCATATACCTGAGAAGAGTCTCGTATCCAGAATACACAAATAATTTTTAACAACTCAAAGAGACAAATAACCTAATTAAAAATGGGCAAAGGAGTTGAAGAGACAACTCTTCAAAGAAAATATACAAATGACCAATAAGCACATGAAAAGATGCTCAGCTTCACTAGCATTAGAGAAATGCAAACCAAAATCACAATAAACTACTACTTCACACCCACTAGGATAGCTATAATAAAAACAGGATATTAACAAGTGTTGATGAAGAAGAGAAGACAATGGAACCCTCATACATTGCTGGTGTGAATGAGAAATGGTACCACTACTTTGGAAAACAATTTGGAAATTCTTCACAAAGTCAACACAGAATTACCATATGGCTCAGCAATTATATCTCTCTCTCAGAGAATTGGAAACATAGGTTCACACAAAAACTTGTACACAAGTTTCCACAGCAGCATTATTCACAATATCTAAAAAGTGAAAAGAACCCAAATATCCATCAACAGATGAATGGATAAACAAATATGGTATATCCATACAGTGCCCTATTACTCAGCCATGAAAAGCGATGGGGTACTGATACATGCTACAACATGAATGGACACTGAAAAAATTATGCTCAGTGAAAGGAATTAGACAGAAAGTGCCACATTTTACATGATTCCATTTATACAAAATGTCCAGAATAAGAAAATCCATAGACAGAAAGTAGATTAGTGGTTGCCAGGGGCTGGAGGGGGAGGGAGAAGGCAGGGAATGATTGCTAATGGGTACAGAGTTTTTTGGGGGAGAGGGTGATGAAAATATTCCGGAATTAGTTAGTGGTGATGGTTGCATAATCTTGTGAATAGACTAAAACCCTGTGAATTGTACACTTTAAGAGAGTGAATTTTATGGAATATTAATTATATCTCAACCTAAAAAAAGTAGTACAGCTTCTGAAAGTAAACCTGGCCATTTAAATCTCCATTAACATTTTCTTGGATGGCTTTGGGATTTTGGATTGAAAAAGTTGATCTTGGCAATTAGGTAAATGGGGGAAACACAACTAAAAGCAACACACCCACACACAACGACAAAAAAACCCACACAATCTAAAGCAAGTGCAGGTGCTTCCAAGTCATGTGAAAATGTGGCTACAGTATTTTCCTGGCAAACCATTTTCTTTAACAATATCCCCAATCTGCACACCCACCACAAAGCTGGAAACAGTATAATTCTCCAGACTAAAGTCAGCAGGGGTAACCCTACCTTTAATATTGTTTTGTTGTTCCATCAATAATTTGCTTATTTCTGAAAACCAACAATCTCTGATTTCTTTTGAAGCTGCCTGCAATTACAAGAAAGAAAATACTATGAGTATCAGATCACCTGGAGTATTAATTGCGCAGGTGTTTCATTCTCTGGGTGGCCAATACAATAAAGGCAGAAACATTCGTCAAGTTGTGGGAATGCACCAGGAAAAGGGTAGAGGACAGCTATGTGGGAGGCCTGAGATTTACCTGCAGGATATATTTCTCAAGTCCATTTCGGTTGGCAATTTCAAACTTTCTGTTGCTCCCTCTTCCGAGTTGGCGAATTGAAATTGTCAGCAACTATTGTAAAGAAAGAAGAGAAATGTCCTCTACCATCATTTTCTGATTTTAAAACCATCCCTGTCAGCCACTCTCTTCTTTTCTACCTTTGATAGCTCTCTTCTTCCACCTTCCTTCCAAGTGTTTTGCTGTCCTCTGTTAATGGTCCCAAGCAGCATAAAACATAGCCCAGGACAGGGTCATCTGTCCTGTCTGTTTCAGAGGACTACACAGACTGTATCTTTCCACATGTAGAGCTGTAGCCCTCAAACTTTAGGGGAAGAGATCTTCGTTCCCTCAACACCATGTATTTCACAAGTCTCTACATAACAGTAGCTGAATAAGCATCCATCAAGAAACATAAATAACGAAGGCTACTATGAATATATTAACAACTTTAATCACAAGAGCACAAGTGTGCGTGTATGTGTGTGTGTATGTGTTTCTCATCACTAGCTATGAAATATTTCCTGTACAGGCAAGAGACAATGCTTGATGTGGACATGGGTTCCTAGACCCGCTGAGTCAGGATGCTGCCTACATTTGTATGCAAAGATGGGTGGTTGAGAAGGGCAAGCCGAAGATGAAATCCAGCCCATGCTCTAATCACCAAGTCTTTCACTCCTTTGGCTGGAGGTAAGAGGGCACTTTTTCTAATTAGTTGGTCCAAACAGGTTTCCATACGGTTCCTTTTCTCTGCCTGGCACAAAGGCACCTCTGTGCCAGTCCGGGCCCTGTCTAGTGACTGATTACCAGCCCTGGTTCTGAAGTCAGACAGGCCTGGGTGTGGATTCTAGCTCAGCTGTGTGGCATTTGGCAAGTTAACCCACCTCTCTAAGCTTCAGTTTCCTTCTCTGTAGAATAAAGCTAACAATATTTCTCTCCATAGGGGTGTGCTGACTCCCAGGTGCAATAGGACCCCTTTACCTGCATAGACTTCTTAAAGATGTAATGAGGAGACAGGCCCTGGTCACTGGGCTCCATTCGTATCTTACAGAACACTATTCCCCTTTCAAATAGATAGATTTGCCTCTGGCTGGGCTTAAATCGAATAAAATCCTTCATCTTATAACGATCCTTGTGAACTGTCCAGACGTTGAAGGAGCCATGCCTCAACAGCTTGCCCAGTTTTCCAATATCATCCTTTTGGAAACACAGACACACAAAAACAAGCTGTTAAATTACTTCACAGGGAAAGAACTCTTAGGGGTCTGTCTTCAAATCATGAAGCACGCGTATCTGAATTTTTCAATCTTAAAAGTGCCATTCACATTTAAGGGCTAATCTGTCACTAAAGCAAAATTACAATTTTGTGAGTTTCACTGAGCATGGCACCATTCAGTTGTGTAAGGAAAGAGTTCAGCTGCGTAAGGTAATAAACATAAAGCATGTTAGAAATACTTGAACTAAAGATACTGGTACTCTGATATTTTTGTCTTGTAACTAATGTTAGAAGCAGAATTCTATTTCTTCTTCTTTGTTTTTGATACACGACAGTCTACTTAAAAAGGGCAAGAAATTGACATTTTAGTTATGTTTAGGAGAGAGAGAATTTTTGTTGCATTATGGACCTATGATAATCCATGTGTTCCATCTGTGTCCTACCATCTGCTTCAGGTCTATGAGAACATGAGATTTGTTCTGAAAGGAGAAAGCTTAGTATAACCTAATCTTCATGACATCATGTAATGGAAATGGTATTTACATTCAACTCTGCAGTTTTCAGAATGAGTGGACAGTGCAAAGATAATCCCAAATGACAAAATGTTTTAAAAGTCTACCTGGCTCTAGGGCACAGCCTATGATGCCTCTCTCTCCACCAGGCAGCCCACCTTTCTCATACATCTGGTTGAAAGTCCAAATGAGGTGACCCTGTCTCCTCTGAGCTCACTCCAAAGGGTGGTGGAGTGAGATGAGCTAGGAACACTGTATTTTATCTGGTGTTTTCAAAAAATTAGATCATTTAAAGCAAAGAATCAAGAATTTATTTCCCTGAATCAAAACACCAGAAGGAGAAAGTTATTTGAACATGACCAGGACAGAGAAATTTCCCTGAGTTAATGTCTAGCTGAGATAAAGCCCTATGATTTCTGAGAGTTAACACTAGAAATATGCACATTATTTATAATTGATTGGGCGTTTTTATAATTTATTGTTTCTATAGAACAGAATGTGAATATCTTTTTTAAAATAATTAACCATCCTTCTGAAATTCTAAAATAAAAATCTCAAGACCACTATGCTCTCGTCATTTCTGTGGTGCTCGTGGAACATTTTCTGTGCTATTTTCTCTTTCTGCTTTGTAAAGTTTACATGTGTAAACCATGGTGAGTGAGACCCTCATTAGGAATAAAGGCTTTCTCTCCTAACAGCATGATTTTCCTGGTCTAGGTTGCACAGCCTCAGCTTAATCAAGTTCCAAGACGGATGGATGATGGGTCCATGAGGACCCTTGAGAAGTTTTTCACTCTATCCACATCCTTCCAGGAGGCACTGAAACATAACCACTCCAGCCCTCAGTGATTGCTGTCTCCCTTAAACACATTCGATTTGTACTCTATAGACAAAAATAGTGCAGGAAATACGTTTTACTTAAGGCAATAGGCAAAAATAGGTGCTTAGTATTTGCCACACGAACAACTTTAATTGGTAGTTTCTATTGTGAAATGTATTTATACTCCACCTCATTTCAAAAATTTGATACATCTTTTGAAAATATATACATTATAGGCAGACAGAAAACAACCAAGGAAATTAGGGTGAAGAAAAAAATAGAGATTAAAAAAAAGGGTAAGACAAAGAGGTTGTACAGGAAATCCATACAATAAAGCCATGTAAATGTGTTACAGGCTGGCCTCTGACCTTCTAGGAGGCACTGCAGAAGGAAGCATGGTGACTTATCTGACTCATTATGTCCAAGGACGTACCCAAACCAGTTGCTCAGGAAAAGCGTGGCAATTCCCATTAATAAGATGTGAGAGAAATTTCTCCCATGGCTCCTCATAAAGGGTCCCTGAGTCAAAAACCAAGCACAACCTCGAACACATCCCAGAATAGACAGATGAACAGATTTCAGGCAAAGCTATTTCTAAGAACATATTTGGCGAACGTGGAGGCATCACTTCACAGGCACAGCTATAAAAGCATCTAAAAGCGGTCCGAATGCCAGGGGAGTGGGGAACAAGTCCAGGTGTACACTCTCTAACAACCTAGAGAGGGCTTGGGGATGTTAGCTAAGGCATCTGCCAAGGCCACAGGCTGTAGGGGAAACAGCCCTGTCCATGGGCCTGCTGAAGAGGCAATCTTAGGCAGCGATGTTTTTGTTCTTTATCATCTCTGCACTTTCCTCCTCACCCTACTCGCAGCCATAGCTGTTTGCACCTTGGGTGGCAATTGACCAAAGGATGTGAATCCAGTGAGTGCCAACCCTGGACCACAGAAGCCCAGTGTGAAAAAGATGTTCCAGACAGCCAGTCTGATCCCTGCTGAACTGAGAGGAACTGAGGAGGAGGCAGTAAGAAGCAAGTGTTGTAAGCTGTACGATGCTTTACAAGAGGGCAGGTGGTGGAATAAACAATAAGGAAGCAGGGCGGTAAAGAAGGTGAGTCACCAGAAACTATGAGGAAGAGGAAAAGGGACCGATGGAGGGAAAGAACCAGTCAGTGCGTGGTGAGAGGGGACAGCAGGCATGTGGATGTCCCTGGCACACATAGGCAGGATACATAGGTAAGGCCCCCAACTCTCTCCCAGGCCAAGGCCCCAGAGCTGCTGTGGATCCTGGAATTTTCCAGTTCCCTCCTCTGTAAGCCTGGCTCTGCCATGGTTCTGACTCTCCCCGAGGCTCTGTGGTTGGCTTTTCCAGTAAGTCTGTCCTCACTTGGAGGTCACTAGAGGCAATCGCTGGGTCTTTTGAGTCCAGCTGAAACAGATGAGCTAAATATCCTCCATGTCATCTCGCATGAACTTTCTCAAGACCGTACTTGTCATGGGATTAAATATCTCAATGCTCAAGGCCAATCCTCCAGTGGCACATGCCCTGCACAGTGCTGATGAAGGGCAGGAGCACGCACGTTACCATCAGCCAGGATATGTGCCTGTGTGGACACTACTCGACCCCAAGGGGAAGTGGGCAGGGGGGATTCCTCAGTGCAGGACCAAGGATGACCCGTGGTCATCTTTCCAACCATATATATCCTTTCTTTCCAATCAGACTCTGGTTGGTCCCAGGGCCAGAGACCACATGCACAACTGCTTGCAGATACTTGTCCCCTGGAAAGTATTTATTCATTTATTGGCATTTAGTGAGGGTCGGGGGGGACCATGCAGCTAAATGCTCAGCACTGTGAGGGAGCTAATGCAATGACGACCCTATCCTGGGTTGAATAGCATCTCCTAAAAAACTCATGTCCACTTGAAACCTCAGTATGTGACTTTATTTGAAAATAGGGTCTTTGTAGATGTAATTCATTAACATGAGGTCACACCATATTAGGGTGGGCCCTAATCCAATGACTGGTGCCCTTTTAAGAAGAGAAAACAGAGACACAGAAACACACACACACAGATGACAGACATGTGAAGATAGAGGCAGAAATTGGAGAGATGCAGCTGAAAGCCAAGCATTCCCAGCAGCTATTAGAAGCCAGGAGAGAAGCAAGGAAGAATTCTTTCCTAGAGCCTTCAGAGGGAGCATGGGTCTTCTCACACCTTGAGTTTGAACTTCTGGCCTCCAGAACTGTGAAAGAATAAATTTCTGTCGTTTTAAGCCATCTAAGCTTTGTTACGGCAGCTCCAGGAAATGAATAAACCCCCAACCAGTTTTTCCACCGGTGACGGTCATAGTGTGGCCCTTTGGTGTGTTGAAGAATCTGACGGATGTGCGCTCAGAGCTAGACCAGGGGCTACCCCGAACAAGTAAGCAAGTGGAAAGTCAGATGGCCTCCTCCATACAGGAAATGATGGCAGAAACAAACCAGTAAATGCAACAGTTTCATGTGTGGACATTTTGTGGGTAAAAGATATAAGAGTATTTCAAATGTGACCACATCGGCCAAATGAAAAATCTGGCTGAGAAAGACTCTGTGAAGCTGGCCTCCAGAAAGATGCCTCTTTTGGGTGCCCAGGTTTTCACTCCTGGCAGTGACAGCGAATGTGACAGAGCTGTATACTTCTTGCACAAAGAAGCAGGAAACATCTGGATAAATGAATTAGCACAAAGCCTGGTTCAGAAATGAAAAGCAGAAGCTATGGGACAGAGGAGCCCATGATTACAATCACCAGGAGCAAGGGAGGGGGTCCTTCCATTCCAGCCTGATCAAGTACCCAAATAAGTCAGCCCCCGGGCCCTTTATTCAGCATCTACCAGGTGCCAGGAACGGTGCAAGATGTCTCAGTTGTGATTTAATCCTCGTTTACTCCTCACAACCACCCTTTGACATAGGCGTCATGATTGTGGAAGATGCACAAGGCGATTCCAGGGAGTCATTAAGGTTATTTACTCAGCCTTATCTCTGCAGCCAACACCACAGTAAGGAAAGGGGAAATTAAAGCAGAATAAAATACCTGGCCCTAGCCCATGATAAAAACACTTCCTTTATTGAATTATATAAATTTGTTGCAGGAAATAAAAATGTTTTATTCAAACTTTACTATTCAGCTTTGGAACTTGTTCCTAGCAAGTCAGGATTTAAAAGGACTCTAAATGCATCTCTATTTTATCTTTCTATCTTTATTTTGGAGGGGAAACTTTTTGTTTCTTTTTTTTGCAAATGGAGGGAAATAAATGACATCTGAGTGTTCCACAAAACAAATTTTCTTTTAAAAATAACTTTTTAAGCTTCTGTGATTAAATTAAACCAAGAATTGAGTGTGTGCAACAAGAAGAAAATATAGATATCAGAGGAGAATTTTTTCTAGTTGTTTTAATTATGAATTCATCCACTCAAGTTTAATTTCTTTCCTTTACAAAACCAGGTTAATATTGGATGTCAAGTAGAGAAATGGAGAGGTTAAGTTCTGGATTCATCCATCCATACAGCATATGAGTGTAAACACCTTGTGATAAAGTTCTACAGAAAAGCTGAGAATCTCAGAATCATTAGATCTGAGTCAGTAGTAGCTGAGTTGTTAGTAAACTAAAGAGAATCAGATGAAAAATGTGTTGAGAGGATAGCACCTGGCTAGGGAGTGAAGAGATCCCAGAAATAGTACAAGCCAGTACCCATGTGATGTTGGGCACGTTAACTCTTCTTCCCTGTTGCTGAATCAGAAAGTTGAAAATTCCAATGCCTGCTCCTCCATAATTCAATAGCGTTATACAAAACTGTCAGGATAAATTAACTAATGTACTAGATGTAAAGTAAGTCAAAATCTTAGCAAAAAAGAAACCATAGAGTGTATGTCAAAGGTGTAATTCTGAGGACACATGAGGAAAAAAAGTTCTTTGCATTTGGTGTAAAACCTCTAAAATTTTATAAACTGGTTCATCTATTTGCACATAAATTGGCTTGGAATGAAATAAGGGTAGGTTGCTATTTACTCACATTTTAATAATTCTTTTCTCATAACTTCCTCCTCCTACGTTACAGCTGCAAGTTTCCTGCCCTGTGTACGACACTCATTTGATTCAGGGAATGGATATCTAATAGGGCTAGCTGACGTGGGGTCAAAGATATAAAGATGGCCCAAAATGATTAAACAAACTGTTCCCTAGATTTTCCTTAGCTGGAGAAGGAAAATATTATTACTACGAAAATGATCTCCTGTCACACACACCCTGTGGTTTACAAATACCCTCTTGAATCATGCATCAGCAGTAAGCAAAGAACGCTCGGGAGCCCCAGGGGATGGTAACAGCATCACTCGCTGCCCGGATCACAGTAAACCCAGTAGGGCTGTTTCCAAGATGCTGGCCAGAGAAATACCAGGAGGGAGGGACACAAAAAGATCACAGTTTTTCTGCCCCTATTAATTTGCATGGTTTGATTTATGACAAGGAAAGAAAAGAAAGGTCATTTCATCTGCCCAGATCTCAATAAAGAGTTACCTTAAAACCAGGTAAAAAGGAAAAGGTAAAAAAGAAAAGGAAAGTATCTGTCTGAAGCATAATTCTCAGAAGCTTGATCCCTGTATGGTAGGCAGAATAATAGCCTCCCTAAGAAGTCCACATTCCAATCTCTGGAATCCGAGAAAATCTGACAAATGGGAATTAAGGTTGCAGATGGAATTAACAATGTTAATCAGCTGATTTTGAGATGAGATTACCATGGATTATTTGGGTGGGTCTAATGTAATCACAAGAGTCCTTAAAGGTGGAAGAGAAGCAGAAGGTCAGAGTGATGTGATCGATGTGAGAAGAATGCAACCCACTGTTGCTGGCTTCAAAGATGCAAGCAGAGGCCATGAGCTAAGGAATGTGGGTGGTCTTTTTAAGCTGGAAAAGGCAAGGAATGGATCCTCTCCCAGAGCCTCCAAAACAAAGGCAGACATCATGATTTTAGCCAGGTGATACTGTTGTACTTCTGGCCCATGGAACTGGAAGATAATAAATTAGTGCTGTTCTAAGGCACCAAACTTGTGGTCATTTGTTCTGACAGTGATAGAAAACTAATACACCTGAGTCGAAATCTAGAGTACTTCACAGTGGAAACCACCTGAATATTCATCATGTCCCAGGCCCAAGGAGCTCATACAGTTATAGAGGATGGTTTGTCTGGACCGCCTGGGCCTGGCCTGCTCAGGATTAACCCTGATGCTAGAGTTGAGATGGCTCAACTCGCCAGCACTACCTCTCTTGGTATTGTCCTTCAACCATTTGGATTAAGGGATGTACAGTAGATGGCTTGTTGGGCTCTTCTGGGATCTGTGTTGTAAAATGGGGTTAGATTAGACTTTTACTTAGAACCCATTTTCAAAGTAATTTTCACAGAGAAAATCTGAGTCAAGAAGGAAATTTTTAAAAATCTTTTAACATTTTAATAGTGCCATGAATCAGAAAATAAATTAGCCTTTCAGCAGTTTCCCCTGGCCCTGAGTTCCTGGTTCTTCCAAAGTGTGGGTCAGTCCCAACATTTAAGAGTCAGGAATACAACTCAAGATTCCTAAAAATGCTGAGGGGCTGCTTGGAATCTCATAGCATGGGTTTGCTGACCGATTCAGGCTACTTTCCCCAGCGTCAGATTCCCTTACCACGGATCATTTCTCTAACTTTGCCATGGCGTCTCCTACCTTTGTAATACTGCACCTGCCTTTTGTGTGAAATGTTCCAATGCTTGCTATGGAACATACCGGACATCCAGTGACTGCTGCCAGGTCCACAGCCAACTCACAGGACTTGATCAAATCCTCCATCATGGCCAAAGCTTGTTGTAGTTCGGCTGAGAATGCTGAATCCTTGGTCCTCTTTGGCTCATTCTGTGGAAACCAAATGCCTTGTTGGAAATCAAAAGGTAAATCAAAAACCATCTACCAAGCGAAGAAGGAAAACAGGACAGAGATAAGGAGCCACGGATCAGCCAGCACAAAGTGTCTGAAAAGGTGGGAACACTGATCTGTTTCTCTGCTCTCAAAGAACGGTGGCTAAAGATATTTGCTGTTTTAAGAATATGATATATATATATATATATACACAAGCAAAATCATCAGCCACACCTTGTGTATATTGTACTAATGAAGAATAAGGTTGATAAAATCATGGACATTTTCTTTCTATCATATAAGAAGCATACTAGCTTTATTAAAGCATGAAAAAACCCAGCCCCTTTAAAGAGGCTGCTCTTTCTTTTACATCCCTATCCCCAGGGCCTACGGAAAAGTACAATCTGAGTATCATATTCCTATATTTAATGTGAAAGCCTTATTCCTATGGGTAAAATTACACTTAAAACCATCCCAGAGGAGGATATTTGTATACTCCTATACAGGCAAAGAACGGGCTGCCATGTGGAGGTTTACTAATGATTTACGTGCAAACGCCATAAGGGTTGCCACAGTGAACCTCCACCAGCTCTGCCCTTCCTCCCGCCTCTCCTCCCCCAGCCCTCCCCGCATTCCGTCACCACTAAAGATGCCAAAGAGGTAAGCCACTGTGGTCTGCACCTCCCAAACACAAAGACTCAGCAATAAGTGGAAAAGCAATAACTACTAATTCAAGAGACCAATGTTCCAATTATTGCCACGGTGACAGTTAGGACATGATAGGGATGACCGTTTCAGCGTGAAAACCTTTTGCTTAGGGTTTTGGTATTTGATTCCCCTGCATATTTATCTATCTGGTAAATATACACAAAAAGATTTTAGTCTCTTCCTTTCTTTTTTTTTAAACACATCAATCTCTACAACAAAGAACAGATAGCTCTTTGCTGCCTCCATAAAGCCCCAGCTCTCTTTGGCCTCTACTGCATGATGGAAGCAAAGGCTTGAGTATTTTCTCAAGCTCTGCCGAAGCCCTGGGGATCAGCATCTTTGGATCAGAGATTCAAGTGACAGGACTGATGAACGGAGCAGAGCACGCTGCCTCCACCGAACAATTTGCCATGGAGTCTTACCTTCTCACTCATAATAAATATGCTCCAGGTCCTCATGAAAGACAACAGACTCGCACCTGAGTTTATTGTAACGTCATCAATAAAGGATTAAAAGTTCTCAGACCAGACATCTTCCTCTTTACCCAACACTTAAAACTCAATTTCCTTTCAGAGACTCAACTGAACCTCTTCTTTCCATTAACCCTCCTCCCGGAAACACAGCTGGCTGCTAGTTTTACACTGTGTAATGTAGGGCTCAGAAAAATTCTTACAAACGTTATTAAACCCCTCTAACTTGGGCTAGCTCCTCTCGCTCCAGGCTATAACATTATTACCTGTGCCTTGAGTTTCTTCTAATTGTAAGGGGTCCCCACCACTCATTCTGAGCAGAGAGGACATGCAAATGACGGCTCCTTGAGACACGTCTCATGGTTTTTTTTTTGTTGTTAAAACCAGAATATTCTATAGGAATATTTGCTAAACCACAAATTTCTTCCTAATCTGGTATGGCCACCTTTCCTCCAAGGGAAGCTTGGCTGTCTCTCTTAGAATTCACACATACACACACACACACACACGGAGGAAAACAAGGCAAGAACGTATACAAATTAGACATACTAAAAAGTACAACGAAGAATATATAAATCATTCACAATCCTACGGTGCAGGAAAAACCATAGTAGAGATTTTATGATATTTACTTCCAGTTTTTTATGTATGCATTTTACACACTCACTTAACTTTGTCTTCCTGTTAAGACATTTTTATGAGGAGGGAGGAAAATATATTATCACTTATCCTGCTATGAATTCCCACTTTGAAAGTGCCTTTAATCTTTTGATTTTTTCCTGACTATGAATTATAGAAATTTTAGAAAATTTAAACAATAAAGATCATAAACAAGAAAAATAAAATTGCCATAATTCCTCCCAGCCATGGACAAGCACCATTAACAGTTAGTTATATAAAACAATATTTAACATCCAGTACCTTAGCCAAACCTCCATCAAGGTCACCTGGGTGTATTTCCAAATCCTCAGGGGACTCAAAATCCAGCAGACCCTGCATTAACCCAAAAGGCTTATTGAAAATCAAAACGTAGAATGTGAAATAAAACTACTATACAAACAATCTCCAGCCAACACTCAACTATGTGTAAATTTGACTGTCTGTCACCGGTAAGAGGGAAAGAATGAATGATATATTCAGCACAGAATTCTTCCCACAAACATAGAATCATATTGGACATAGTTTGTAGCCTGCCTTTTCTCACTCAATAACATATCACAAACATTTATTTTCTCATGACGTTGTCTGTTTATCAAACACGTTTTTTGATTGTGGCAGAGTGTCGCATCCTATAGATTAATCATAATTGATTAATCTCCCCTATGTTAAACATTTAGGTTCAACAATTTTTTACTATGATAATAATAACCTTTGTGCATTTTTCCTATGGATAAATTCCTAGAAGAGGAATTGGCAATGTTAAGAGTTTTGAAGCATATTTCCAGGTCCTTTAGAGAAGAGCTGTGTTCCCACCAGTCCATTCATGAAACCTCGTTTCACCAATGTCTAGCCTACAAGAAGTACAACCATTTATCAGAAAGTTTTGCCAGTTGAAGCAACAGAGCAATCCCACCTCACTGTGGTTTTAATTCAAATTTCTCAGATAACTAATGAGGTAGAACTTTCAAAAAAATGTTTGCTAATCACATTTATTCTTTTGTAAACTGCCGGTGTCTCCTGTTCATCTTTTTATTATTAATTTCTTTTTTTCAAATTTCTGCTTTATTGAGGTATAAGTGACATAAAAAATTGTAAGATATTTGAAGTGTACACGTGATGATTTGATATGCACATACATTGTAAAAGGATTCGTCCTCCTTTAGCTAATTAATACATCCATCACCTCACATATTTATCTTCTTTTTGTTTGGTGAGAACATTTAAGTTCTACTCTCTTAGCAAACTCCAATTATACAATACAGTGTTATCAACTATAGCCACATGTTGTACATCAGATCTTCAGGCCTTATCCACCTTATAGCTGAAAGTTTATACCCTTTTACCAACCTCTCCCTACTAATTGCTTTTTTAAATAGTAGTCTATTTAATTTTTTTTAAAGAAGAAAAGTGAATATTGCTCCTATGACATGAGTTGGATTACACAGGAAATCAGCATGACTGCCTATTCTTGAACATTCTTCTTACAATTAGCAAAACTTACAGTAAACAAATAATGCACCATTTTGCAAACCATATCTTTTTTTTTTTTTGCTGAGGAAGATTAACCCTGAACTAACATCTGTTGCCAATCTTCCGCTTTTTGCTTGAGGAAGATTTGCCCTGAGCTAACATCTGTGCCAATATTCCTCTATTTCATGTGGGATGCTGCCACAGCATGGCTTGATGAGTGGTGCTAGATTTGCACCTGGGATCTGAACCTGCAAACCCTGGGCCGCCAAAGTGAAACGCGCAAACTTACCCACTATATCACCAGGACAGACCCTTGTTTTTGTTTTTATTATTAATTTCTATGAGCTCATTATTAAGAATGCTGACCATTTGTGACATATATTTTGCTAATATAATATTAGCTAATATAATATAATATAATATTTTCTCAATTTTTCATGTGTCTGTTTTTAATGTATAATCTATCACTCTTGTCTCTTTCTTTTATACTTAGAAAATCTGTCCCACACCCGGATCCCACGATCCTTTCTAAGGCGTGAGGCAATCCGTCCAACATCCATGCTTTCTCTAAGAAGCTCTTGGTAGGCACTGCAGAATGAGCTCCACCCCTCAGGGTGGAGGACGCTAGAGTCCCTCCTCTCTTCACAGGCGTGCCAATGGTTTGAACTTGTTTTTCTGGCAGGCAGCAAGCTTAGCTATGGGAAAAACTGGTCTGCCTTGAGTAGCCTCCCACGGTTTCACACAGACCCCCAAGGAATCTTTTATAGTGATTTTGTCTCTTGTTTCCTCGGTGAAATGAAGCTAACAAAATTTCTAAGTATTTTTAACATGTATCACCTCATTTAATGCTCCCCAAAAGCACACCAGGAAAGTATTATTGCTACCTTCATTTCACAGGTGAGGAATACGAGGCAGACAGAGGTTGAGTAACTGGTCTGAGTTCATGCAGTCTGGAAGAGTTAAAGCCCAGATCCACACCCCGGATGTCTAACTCCCAAGTCTGGGTTTCTGTTCACTATGCCCTACAGCCCTCCGAGGATGGTACAGAACTCAGCCATTGTGTCAACACGGCTAGTATGGGAAAACTCCAGACCTTCAGTACTCAATGCACCCGGGCCAAGACTGTGAAGACCCCCACTTAGTTCCTGCTCCCTCCTCATTGGGCCCAGTGGTTGGACTTCATGACAGTAAAGATGGGGCGGTCAGAGGAATATGGGTCCCTAAGTGAATGCTGTATCGAAACATGCCCACAGATGCCACTCACGGACAGAAGCCGTGGGCCATAATCCTCATTCCCACACTTGCATGATGTCTCCATGTATAAAACAAAGGCTACAGGTCACAGGAAGCTTCCTGAGGGTGAGCACTGAGTGAGCTCTCTACGTGCATTACTCACTTGCTCCTCACAGCAATCCTGTGGACGAGATTCTGTCACCCTTGTTTTACATGTGAGAAACCTGAGGCCAATGAGGTCCAGTAGCCCCACCACTGGCAGTGGCAGAGCCGGTCCCGCCGAAGCCGGGACTGCTGAGGCAAAGCTGAAAGGGCAAAATGTTGGGCAATGAACCTAACCTCCCAAGCCTCAGTTTCCTCACACTCCAGAGGCTTCCTGGCACATCTGATTGTGGGGATTAAATAAGAAATACACGTGGGAAGGTACCCAATAAACAGCAGGGGCTTGTTTTTTATTAAGAGATAGTAACCACTGGCCAAGAGCTACTTATAAAGGTTATTTCAAAATACAACTCGGAGGAGTGGCCCAAACCTTCGCCTTGGCTCCCCTGGGGAAAGCAGCCTTGACGGAGCCTCCCCTCCTGTTTGGGGTGTCTGGAGCGCTCTCCTGCAGGTGGGCTGGTGTCAGTGAGAGAAACAACCACTTAGGGGTTCAGCAGTGCAAAATTCATCCTGTTATGCTGCTCTTGAGAAAGATCCTAAGGCTAAGGGTGGAGGTAGATTTTGCAAAAGGAGAGAAGATCCCAGTTTTGCCTTCTCCGTTCTATCGTTTTAATGCATGTAAAAGAGTGACTTTGGGAAAAAGCAACTCTTTTCCGAAGCTCCTTGCGTCATCTGTAAAATGGAGCAGATGATATCTTACCTGTAGATACCTTACCTGAGAGCAGAGGCTCTGGCTGCCTCCCCCGATCTTGGCTGCCACCAGTGGGGTGGCACCCCTCCTCCTCCCTTTGCTCCCAAGGACCTCTCCTCCCCTAAGCCAGGCTCCTTAGAGATTCATGCCTTGGGCTGATGTTGGACTGGCTAGGCTTCCAGGTCCCTTTCAACTCTATGATCCTTTGGTCTTACTCATCATTGAGGACAGAAAAAGCCTGAAGGATAGACCCATTTTCACCTTTGGAAGATGAAATCACCCCTCTACATGTGTAAGGAAAAGAGCACCATAGTGCAGGCATCTGATTTCCCAACACAGTAGAGCACTGTCTCATTGACTTTACCTTCAACAGCATCTGGTATTTCATAAGTCTCTGGCTCGGTCCTCTAAGATACTTAAAAAGAGGGAGATTGTGATCCAATTGGCGCTGGCAGACCTTTAAAAGCCAAATAGAAACAACACAAAACAAACAATGCAATTAAAACAAAAGTGGCATATTTAAATAGAAGAAATGAAATGGGCTCTTCATGGACAAGATGGGCAGCTGTGTTGGCCAGTTTGTAACGTTACTGAGTTGTTTAGTCCCTTGGGAATGGTGTGTGAAATGAGAGGAAGGGGAAGAGGGATGGCTTGGCTAGTATTTTCATATGCAACTAGGGAAGCAAGACTGCTCATTTTTTTTAGAAAGGAAGTTCACTAGAGGACAGCGGGGCATTTCAAATCCTTGTGAAAAGGAGGCAGCCTGTCCTCCAGTTAGGGGTGGGGTGGGGTCTATTGAGGTCAAGTTGAGTCTGAAGGGTACATGATAGTGTATTGATCTCGTTCCAGGGAGCCCAAAATGTGCCCTTTTTGAGTTAATTCCATTTTTAAAACCCATTCTAGAAGAGGACCCTGGTTTTCTCATCAGGCCTATCCCAAAGAGACCCAGGGCAGCATCGAAACTTCCAATACGTAATTTCAAAATAGGAGAGACTTTTAATCAACATAAATCCCAACGCCAAATTCCTCTGCCTCATTCATACTTTCGATTTCTTTAAAAAGTTGATGCACATAAACGTTGTCCAGGGAAAACAATTTGTTTTTCCTGAGACTTTGCAATCTCAACATTACCCCAAAGTAGGCGCAGTCCTGACATTCTTGCCAGATTGCCCTAGCTCGGGGCAGATTCTTATGATATTTGAAATATATTTGAAGATCTTCTTTCTGAGTGGGAAAAAAAATCAGAACAAATTAATTAGTAGCATTTTTTCAGGAAGTGGATAGGACAATACATTGAACAAGCCTGAGTATTTCCAATGTGTAAGGGACCGGGGATGCATGATAAATAACCTTCTGTTGGGGTGAGTGTGTGATGGGGAGGCAAAGAGCGTTATAAACAACTGTAAGTACTGAACAGAGATATGAACAGAATGCTTTGGGAGCAACTACAGGGCTCTGGGAAATAGATAAATAAATTCATGAACAGGCATCGATTTTTATCTTCACTCTTCCTCCCCTGCTCATTTATCCAGGACACCAACATCTCCCCAAAATAGTTCTGCTGGGAGGGACAGAGCTGCCAGAGAAAGTGCTGGTAGCTAATAGCCCCTCCCTTCTCTCTCCCCAATCTCTCTTTATTGTGATCATCATGGTGCCAACTCTACCAAAAAAGCTAAGAAACAACCAAGAGATAGAAACACCCCAGAAGGAAAATATGGCCGTTTGGACAAAACAACACACATCTAAGTCATTTGGGCAACGCCCAAAGTGTCAAACTCTGCCTCAGACATCATCTTCAACCTGTCGCACAAGACTCTGAGACGGGAAAAGTTATACGATATCTCAGAGCTGGAGATCAAGAGGGGTTCCAGATGCTGTGTGGCCTATATTCTCATTGTAGTGAGGCCTTGAGAGGGGCACACATCTGCCAATATTCAGGTAAAAAGGATGCCCCAGGCCTACGGGGTCAGCTTGCCAGCTTCAACCGCTCCATTGCGAGAACAGATCCACAGCAGCTGTGTTTGCCCCACAGCCCAGGCTGCTCTGGGGGACAAGCCCTTGTGGCCACTTCCCTGCAGATTTCTCTGTCTCTATCCTCCTGCTCAGGCCAACTCTTGATGTCCTTCACGTGGACATGGGCTATTTTTTCCCTCACAGCTTCAACTATATCTATCCTACTTCCAAACCCACTGTTGTAGTGATTGATTTCCATTTCTGCAACCTAACAAAAATGCATTCATTATTCATTCACTCAAGAACTAACAACTGAGTGCCTCTGATGTGCCAAGCACTGTGCTAAGTACATTTGTTAAACTCATTGGCTCAGTAGCCGTGACATGGGGAACATTCCTGCTAGACTGAGGGCCAGGCTTATAAAATACTACCAATTGATTAAGGCATTTCACCCACATTTGGTCTGTCAGAGCACAAAGACGTTGACCTTTAGCTCCTAAAAGAATTTAAGGTTTCACCACTTTCAACCCTCACCACCATAGGATTCTCAGAAGCTGGAGGAAACTTTGGAGGTCTAACCTCCCACCTGGTAAAACAGCTTCAGTAGCCAGCCACCTTTTCCTAAACTCTCCCAGTGGCAGAGAAGGACCTGGTTCTCTTGGTGGATGCTGAGCTGAAACCTGCGTTCCTGAAAACTTCATCCCTTGGTCCTGTGTCTTTGAGGCCTTTGTGGGTCTTCAAGTACTAAAACACAACTACTGACCTAAATTTGCTCTTTAGTCCGAAAGTCCTTAGTGAAAGGATGTGTACTAACCAGTAGCACATGAAAGTACCCGATTCCCCTCACTTTCTTATAGAATAAATCAGGAGGCTAAAAAAACTGCTACCAAAAACTTATATTCACACAGGGAGACATGATTGCTTATGCATTAAGACTGTGGGCTCTGGTGGTGGATGGTCCAGCTTCAGTTCTTGGCTTCGTCAATTACAAACTACTTGGCCTGAGTCAGGTACTTAGCCTCCCTGTACTTCAGCTTTCTCATCTATAAAGTAGGCTCACAACAGCACTCAACTCGTGCGATTCTTTTGAGATTAAGTGAGATGATGTAGAGACACTTCTCAACACATGCCCAATACACACAGACTGTCTAACAAATGGTAGCTATTGTCAAAGCACTTTTTACTTTGTAGAACCTTTCTGCATGCATTATTTTATCTGATCTCCACAACAATTTTATATATTGGTATTATTAAGCCTTTGTATTGAGAAGGAAAGTGAAACTCAAGGAGTTTAAGCGACTTACTCAAGGTCATGCAGACAGCAAGTGGCTCTGTTAGATAAGAAGTTACATTTCCTGAATCCCATTCCAGGGTTCTTTCCATTATATCATGTGAAATCTCAGAGCAAATGGAGCTCGAAGGAAACTACTGACACATATTGTTCTACGGAGAGCTGGGTCTCTTGGGGCCGAATCTTCCTGGACACTATAGGCTATAGAGTATGATTAAAACTCTTGGCCAGAGCAATAGTTCAAAATTCATTTCCATGATTAGCGGAATTCTGCAAATATTATTGATAAAAGGTAAACTGCTATAGTAAATAAAGGGTGATGGCCCTGCCTTATTGGCTAACAAATATAAGTTTTTGCACAGCAGTGGCCAATTTCCTCAAAGATTTAGTGCTTGTGGTTTTTTTTTTTTGTAAAGATTGGCACCTGAGCTAACATCTGTTGCCAATCTTCTTTTTTTTATTCTTCTCCCCAAAGCCCCCCAGTACATAGTTGTATATTCTAGTTGTGAGTGCTTCTAGTTGTGCAATGTGGGACGCCGCCTCAGCATGGCCTGATGAGCAGTGCCATGTCCACACCCAGGATCCCAACCGGAGAAACCTTGGGCCACCGAAGTGGAGCACGTGAACTTAACCACTAGGGCGCGGGGCCGGCCCCATAATTGTGGTTTTTAGTTACTCTGTTTGTCCCAGAATAATAACCTTGTCCTTGATAAGAATTTATTACCTGTATTTTATCTCCAACATCACAAATCCTATAGGATTATATGTAGAGTGTGTGGTCTGTATTAATGGTTTCTAAGGTTTCTCCCATGTAGAGGACTATAAAAAGCTTTGTAAAATCTTAGAAGAGGAATTCTTTTAAGAAAAGACATTTAGTCAGCAGTTCCCTGACCATTTCCTCATGCTTAGACAATTTTTATTTGATAATATCCATTTTTTTCCCCCACAGGAATTTGGTCCTTCTCTCATCGAACAACTTAAATAAGTCTTTGCAATAATGGCAAAAGCAATTATAAAATATTTCTAAACTCTGAAACTAGATTTCACACTGGTGGTTTGATGAGAGTAAAATTGCAAAAGAGGATAAAACACTAATAATGCTATAAAAGTAATTCAAAAGGGAAATTAACCAGATTGAGTACAAAATAGTTTTCAGTGTATCTTGGATTCTGGCACTGGATGAAACACCTATGATGAGGCTGTTGGTGGAAGCCCCATACAGGGCCATGGAAAGGGCCTTCTAAGCTGGTCAAGCTCTGAGGGTGAAAGACTCTGTTTCTCCATTATGTCAAATACCTAGAAACCTGGGGATTTCTGTTGGATTGCTTTCAGCAAATCCCAACTACTGCTCTTAGACTTAGCAGCCATAATTTGGGTTGTTTAAAAATTGTTAAGTTGTTTGATTTGTTGTCTCAGGCTTGCAAAAAGAAAAGCAAGGAAGGGAATGAAAAGGACCAGTTGGGAGAGAGAGAAGAAATGGGAGAGATTTGGAAAGCAGAGGGCAGCAGGATCCTATGCATATCCTCCTACAGGGAAGAATGCACTTGCTGGGGAATGGTGTTGGGTAAAACATTTCTTTGTGCCAGCTCCCAGGGAGCACCAGTGGCCCAAACACCCACTTATTGACCAAAGCAAGGGTGGAGAGGAGCGAGAAGGCAGAGGTCTGCATGGCGGGAAGGCGACGTAGTCAGAGGTGCAGCGTTGTAAGACAGGAAACTCCAAATTGGGTGCTAAACATAAGAGAAGTTGCAGATTTAAGATTTTTCTAACCATCCTCTGTGCTGTAAAAAGTAAAATGGAAGAAAACATATTTTCTGCGATTTTTAGTTTAACATCAGTTCTTTTCTTCAGAGTGTTCATACAATTTAGTGGGGAATTTAAGCTCGCTTTGTGCTTCTTGTCTTAAAACCGTTAGCTTAGTCATCCAGAGGAGGGTCATCTGCTCTGGGGGGCCTGGGGGGCCAGTCTTTCATTTCACTGGGCTTTGCAGGAAGCCAGGCTTGTTAGTTGCTCCCATCTATCAGTGTGAGCTCAGTCAAACTGGACTCATCTCACACTGGATGAAGTATTGCAAAGGACTCCAGCTTTGCATTCAAAAGGCAGATAAAAATTTTCAGACCATTGCCCTTACCACTTACACAGAAAATTAAGGGCTGGCTTTAATCACATGATTATTTTGATTTATTGGGAGCACAGACTTACTCTCTTGAGAAAGCAGCGTGCCAGAAGTTCAGGGTTTTCAATGCACTTTTCCAATTCTTTCAGAAAAGTCCTAGGGAAAGAAAAGCATAATAATGCTTTGAATTTTCACATGTATGGCATTAAAAAAATTCTTTTAAGTAAAATCACATAAAGTTTTAAGAAGTTCTTAGGAAAATGCTGTTTTCCTGGCTTTATCGCTCTTGACTCATCTTCAACACACGGATTTGGAAAACACAAATGTATTCTGTGATCTTACTAGGATTCTCTGAAACCACTCACAGCTGTTCTGATAATTCTAAGCACTAGTCACAGCTAGGCTGGATGCCCTGATGCTCCCTGCTACGTAATAGTAATGTTAAGAACAACCGATGCTGCTGTTGCTGCCACTACTAACGTCACTGAGAGCTTCCTAGAAGCCAGGCATGAACAAAGTGCTTCGCAAACAATATCTCCTTTAATCTTCCCCCAAACCTTGGAAGACAGGGTTTCATAAATGTGAAACCTGAGGCCCAAAGCTAAGTAACACCTCTCTAGGGAAAGTAGCAGAAATGGGATTTCCACTTGGGCTTTGGATCTGACCTATGGACAAAAGATGTGGCAGGAAACAACTCTGGTTCAATTCATCAAGTAGTTTTTCCCTTCTGTCAGTTAGATGTGTGATCTTGGGGTCATTTATAGTAAGTAAAGTGAGTAAACAAACTGTGGTCTCCTTATCTGTAAAATGAAAGGGTTGGAGGATGATTTACAAAGTCCTTTTCTCCTCTAATTCTCTAAACTCAAAACGTAAGCAGCCCTGGGCCAAGAGGGCAACTTGTTTGACCAGTTAGCATTTTCTAACACCCTAGCTCCTAGCACAACCCTATGATAATAGGTATGTGGGTGTGTATCTTGGTCATCTTTGTCTTCCCAATGTTGAACACAGTGCCTGGCACAGAACAGGTGCTCCATAGATGCTGATGCATGAATAGATAAAGAAGCAAAGGAACACACAAGTGAATATAACATGAATGCCTGCTGCCTAGTGATGTCCTGTTCCTTCTTCCTCAGGGACTTTGAGGCACTTCCTCCCTTCTTCTCATCCCATTCCATCCCAACCCCATCCGCTGACTCTGGATTACTTGCTTAAGCCTGAGAATGCCTAAGCACTTAATCCCCAAATTCCATCAATCTGATTGCCATCCTTCTCTTACTTTCCATTTTTCCTTATAATTTGAATTATTACATACCTGTTGTGAAATTCATAAAGTTCTCTAATATTCCCAAAGAGAAAGTCCTTGTTATTCTGAAGAACATCTGGAATCAGATGCTTCAGCCAAATAAAATCCATTGGAATGATATATCCCTGCAGCAGTGGAAGGAAGGGAGGTTTTACAGATAGGAACATATAAGAGGTGATCTGAATTAGCTACTCCAGGGACCAAAACTTTAATAAAAATAATTGGGGAATATGCCACATGTTTCCTGAAAGCCATTCCATCAAACACTTTCTTTTGATATTATTTTCCTCATGTGTCCATCTTCAGGAGAAGAAGGTTTAATGGCAATGATAATAGAATGGCATTTTTATAGAAAGAACAAATATATTATTAAATGTTTACGTTATACAAGTCAAGTCTGAAAGGAAAAAACTTACCCATCATTTTATGACATAATGCAACTACTATTCTTTTATTATGTTTCTTTCATGACTTTTTAAAAGCTTATTTTATATGGTTATAATCACAGTACATATGTAATTTGTATTGTTTTTCCAAATACACTTTAGACTTTGCTTATAAATTTCTACATATATTGTTTTTAATTTAATCTTATGTGTTTTTTCAATGTTGCTACATATTATTCAAAATAATTATTTTCTAACAATTAAATAATATTTCATTTAGCATGTATATCAGGCTTTATTAACCATTCTCTTTTTTATTGGACATTTGGTTTTCTTCTGATATTTTATGGTAAAAAAATTCTATTATAACTTTGTACATATAGATTATGCACATCAAGATTATTCCCTTAGGAAAATAGAGAAAAAGCACATTTTCACTCATAGGCCAAAAATGCTACTTAAAGCAATGCAAAATAATTCTCCCGCATTAAATTATCAAAAACATTTGAATGGTCATATCTACTGTTGGCAAGTATATGGTGAACCTAACTGGGCATTGCTAGAATCAGTATGAATTGGCATAATTCTTTGGAAGTAATTTGGTTACATGGATCAACAGTCACAGGAATGTTCTTATTCCTACTGGCAAGACAGCTGTGATATTATAAGACCTGAAACCTTGGTGGAAATTCTAGACACATATGGCAACTATTTTGAGTCTCTTTGTACAACAAAACTTCTCTAGTTTGAATACATGCTTATTGTCCCCCCCCCCCGCCATCTACTTACATCAATTATGCTCTTAATCTCTTTTATATAAATCTCTTCAGTCTCAAGCAAGTCATGTACAATGCGCCTGAACCACAGCAGCAGATGGGAAGATGAAAGAGAGACAGACAGAAGGAGGGGAGAGCAGTTTTTTAGAATTCTTTTAGAATAATGCTCATCAATACAGTTCCCCTTAGTGGCTCACCTACTTAGGTTGTGGTCAGCTCATTCTGTTCTACTGAACACCCAAGGCCAACATCTCACTAGAGCACACTCTGATCACACAGGCATAAGAAGGCACGGCAAGGTTAGAGGACTCAAAATCCATTTGTGCAGCTAGCGAGTGACCTGTCCTCTGGTGTGCTGTAGCGTAGGGGTCAAGAGGGCAGGTGTTGGAGTCACAAATATCAGTTTTGGATCCTTGGTCAGGAAGGTCTGCCTGACCCCTATACTGTACATGTAGTTTCCTGGATTTTCTCTCCAGCTTTCTGCTGTTTCACGGCTCACATCAAGTTCTTTGACCCACATGGATGTAAGCTGTTGTGTATGGGGTTAGGTGGATGCCAGTCATGCCCCCTTCCTCTGGCATCCGATGTTGCAGTGTGATGGACTTCCTCAGCCAAAAGATGTGAGCACTATCTGCTTCCCTTGAGGAAGGCAGGTGGGGGTGTGGTGGGCAGAATTCTAAGATGGCCCCCAAGATTCCTAGTAGCTGGTGTACACACACCTCCTCCCAGTTAGTCAATCAAACACTAATTTAGGTGCTGCTGCGAAGGGATTTTGCCATTCTGTTTTGTTCCAAATCAGTTGACCTTAAGATAGGTAGATTACCCAGTTGGGCCTGTCCTAACCCCATGAACTCTTTAGATCTGGGTCTAGAAGTCAGAGAGATTGTAAGCATGAGGAGGATTTAACACAAGGGAGATTCCCCTTTGCTGGCTTTAGAGATGGTGGGTGCCATGTGGCAGAAAGTGCACGCAGCCTCTAGGAGTTAAGGGTGTCCCTCAGCTGATAGCCAGCAAGGAAACAGGGACTTTAGTCCTACAGTTGCAAGGAACTGAATTCTGCCATAACCACATGAACTCAGGAGAGCATACCAAGCAGAGGGGGCCCACACCTTGATTTCGGCTCTGTGGGACCTGAGCAAGAAGTCAGTCACACTATGCCCAGACTCCCGGCCCAGGGAAATTGCAAGCTGAGCTGCTAAGTTTGTGGCCAATTTTTATGCAGCAATAGAAAACTAAAAGAAAGAGTGAGGCCAGGCCCCACGTTCGTCTCCAGAAGACTGTTCTCTTTTTCTCAGACTGTGTGACCACACTTTCTTTTTCAGCCTTTCTTTAGGCTCCAGGTGAGTCAGTGTTTGCACAAGTGTTTATGTGTAAAATATATACATTTATGGTTCCTGTGAACTGTTTGGGGTTATCTATTAAATGGTAGCCGATCCTAGTAAAGGATTCCTTTTCCTCTCATAAAATGGAGATGGCAAGGGAGAGACAGGACACAATATCGGAAATTCACACAAATACATGAATGGCTATTAGTCTTACAAAAAGAAGTGCTCAATACACACCAATCCAGTGCAGGCGTAGTAAAAACAAGTAACAATTTTCAACTACAAGCATGGCAGAAATTTCAAATCTCAAAGGAAGACTGATAGATGAGGATGTGGAAACACTGTCAGACAATACTGTTGGAAGTGTAAATTTGTGCAAGACAACTTGGAAATATCTCATCAAAATTTAAAACACATGCTCCTTGACTCAGTAATTTCGCTTCTAAGAATTTTCATTGTTCGGCATTACAACAACAACACTTCAACAACAACCAGAGATAAACTGGAAATTACTTAAATGTTCATCAACAAATTATGGTACATACATATAATGAAATGCCATGCAGATTTAAAAAAGAATGAAGCCAAGTGAATCACACTGATATGACACAGTCCAGATATTTTAAGTGAATTAAAAAAAAACCAACAAGATGCAGAACAGTATGCATAGTATGACTATTTGTGTACAAACGAATGTGTATGCATACACATGTAAAATTGTATATGATTAGAAAATGTATGTAAAAAAACTAAGACATTATTAACAGTGACTGCTTTTGGAGACTGGTACTGAAGGCTAGAAAATAGGGAAAGAAGGAGAATTTCTACATTTTACTCTACATCCTTTTACAGTCTTTGATTTTAAAAAATACTTTAAACATTTACTGCTTTTATAATTAAAAAAAAATGGTTTACATGGCTTTTTTTTTTTTTGAGGAACATTAGCCCTGGGCTAACATCTGCCGCCAATCCTCCTCTTTTTTCTGAGGAAGACTGGCCCTGAGCTAACATCTGTGCCCATCTTCCCCCACTTTATATGTAGGATGCCTACCACAGCATGGCTTGCCAAGCAGTGCCATGTCCGCACCTGGGATCCGAACTGGCCAACTTAATCCGCACATGTGAACTTAACCGCTGCACCACTGGGCCAGCCCCGGTTTACATGACATTGTAAAATGAGTGTTACTGGAGGTAATGACATATGAACTCCATTTGAGAGATATAAATAAACTCTACAATTTACCTATTTTATACCTCAACAAGTACTCTTTCTTAAAATGACAATTTTTTTATCTACTTATAAATGCTTGTTATAAGGAAAGACTGATAAAGGATACCCACTGACAGAGAATACAATTTCAAGAAGTATAAAGACTACCAAAAAGTTACTTTGAGATCATACTTAGCTAACAGAGTCACTGAGTAAGAGGTTCCTTTGGTTTTTATAAATTATCCTGAAATGATGGCAGTTGCTATGTCAAGAAGGAAATATAGTCCTTGATACCAATCTGTTTCTATGAGCCACGACATCAAGTGGGACCAGAGCAACAGTTAAGCATTCATAGAAAACCAGAGTACAGCCAGCCTCTTATGCCCTCATGAAGCATTGGGCTTAATATACTTGGCAAGTCTATTTAAGGATGTACTGATGATTAAATGAAGCCAGAAGGCAGAAATAACTAGGTGGTGCACAGAAATCAATCTTATTATCCAACAGCTAATGTAAGAACTTGAAGATTCTTAGGAGGTTTTAGGAATCTGAACCAAAAAAATATTCACAACTCAGAAGAAAAAAAAATTCCTTTGTCAGGTCATGTTTCAGCTTATAGCTGGAAAACAGTCTAGAGATCTCATCCAACTGCTTCATTTTACTTGTTGGAGTGCAATGCATAAAACTCCAATGATAGGAAGTCCCCTGCACACTGGTAGCCTACATTTCAGTTCAGATTTCTTTTAAAAAGTAGCCCTCACACCACTGTGGAGCCATTCTTTTTCCTTTCCTCTCCTTTGTTTTCCTTTAAATAGCTTTATAAAATGGGAGAAAATGTATGATTCTAGTTGATGATCGCCTGCTTTATTATTCCAAAGCCTATAACTTTGTTCAATGATTTAACATCTAAAGTCATAAAGTATATATAATGTAGAGAAAGAACAGTAAATATTGGGAGTACTCAAATAAGTAATTTAAAAACCTTTAAACACCTAGAGCAATTTATGTCCTGATGGATATCTACCCGGAGATGGAGCACTAGTAATTAGGATACCAAATGGAGTTGACGATGCCAGATCAGCTTGCACTAATATACTCTACATTAGTGTACATTCTGGCACTTTGTGGCTCTCCCTCCACCCCCAACGCCCAGGAAATGGAGGCAGAATATGTTTTAAGGGACTATTTCTTCTCTGAAGTCATATTTCAAGGTAGCATACAAACAGCTTTGGATATCTGGTTCCATTCTATATGACACCTCATGTTTGTTTCAGTTGACACCATAACCAAGGGGCAAGAATGGAAACAATAGGCCTTTTAAAAAAGTGATTGTAGCCCTATTTGGTAAGCAAGATCATTAAAACACATATAGGTTAGGATTTCCTGATAAGTTTCTTCTTTGTCCCTGCATCCTAATCTGTTCCCCCTTTTAATCCTTGCCCCTCATCCTCCACCACCCTCATTTCCCAGCTCTCCCATAGAAGTGCATCCTTCTGGGAACCAGCCTGTCAGAAGTATATTTTTGCTTGTTAATTGTCAACACAATTTCCATCCAGAGTTTTCATTTATTCCTGGCATTTTATCAAATTATAGACATCAGACGTATTACAGATTTTCATTTTTAAAAATTAGTTTTCATCTATTACCCTCTTTGCCAAATTGAAATGTCTGTTTTTATCCTTCTCAAACTCTAGGGCATCTGTGGTGGGAATGCAAACTGGTGCAACCACTATGGAAAACAGTATGGCGATTCCTCAAAAAACTAAAAATAGAACTACCATATGACCCAGCTATCCCACTACTGGGTATCTACCCAAACAATTTGAAATCAACAATCCAAAGTAACGTATGCAGCCCTATGTTCATTGCAGCACTATTCACAATAGCCAAGACATGGAAGCAACCCAAGTGCCCATTGACTGATGATTGGATAAAGAAGATATGGTATACATATACAATGGAATACTAGTCAGCTAGAAAAAAAGACAAATTCGTCCCATTTGCAATAACATGGAAGGACCTAGAGGGAATTATGCTAAGAGAAATAAGCCAGTCTGAGAAAGACAAATACCAGATGATTTCACTCATACGTGGAATATAAACAAGGCTGGGACAAAGAAAACAGTTCAGTGGTTACCAGGGGAAGGGGGGTGGGGATGGCACAGGGCATGAAGGGGAGCACTTATGTGGTGACAGTTAAGAAATAATGTACAACTGAAATCTCACATTGATGTAAACTATTATGAACTCAATTAAAAAATAATTTAAAAACTCTAGAGCATCTGACATAATGGATATTTATCCTCTTAAACCTTTCTCTTCCTTTGGTTTCTCTTTATTATTCAATCTTCATTCACCACCCACCTCTCTATTTCTTCTCTATTCCTTCATTGCTTTATCTTCCTCCTCCTGTCTAATATTGCCACTCCTCAAAGGTCTGAACTCAGGTTTCTAGGTTTCCTTCCCTCTTCTTCCCTCACGTTGTTGACTTTCCGACATCTTTGTTTTGCTCCCAGACCTTTGGTCATGCTCAAGCTCATGTTGCCAATGGTCTCACATGAATGCCTCCCGGACACCTCAATCATCTCAGGTTGAAACAGAACTCATTAGAGAGAAATAGCATGTGTATCAGTGGAACTGCCATTTTTCTAGGGTCCCTAAAGCTTTAATTTCAAACTCCTCCCTGCCACTATCACTTATATTCAATCTGTCACCAAGCCTTGTCATTTCATCTCTCAACATGCCTCTTGGAGTCATTGCTTATTGTGCATTTCCAGTGCCACCAATATAGAATACACTCTCCATTCCTCTCACCCTGAATAATTTGGCGCACTCCTAGCAGCTCAGCCTTACCTCTCAGATCCCTCTCCCAACAATCTATTTTGCAGATCACATGTCTATGCTCTTCCTAAAGCTCTATTTCCATCATGCCATCATTCTACCTCTTCAAAAACTTAAAATAGCTTTCAATTGACTACAACTGCCAATGTTTTTCCCAGGATTTCAAGATTCTCCATTCATGTAATAAGAATGTACTTAGGGAGCTTGACCTAAAGGTAAATCCAGACCTACAGATTCAGAACGGGGAGTGGTGAGTAGGAGCTACAGGTGGAATCTGTAATTTTCACAAGCACCCCAGATGATTCTAATGCAGATGTTCTGCTATTCAACTAAGTAACACTGATATGACCCACTTTTTTATTTTCTATTTTTATTTTTTGCCTTTTTGCTGAGGAAGATTTGCCCTGAGCTAACATCTGTTGCCAATCTTCCTCTTATTGTATGTGAGCCACTGCCAACGAACTTAACCACTAGGCCAGTGGGGCCAGCCCATGACTCAATCCTTTTACCCACCTCCCCCACTTTAGTTAGGCCAGTGTTATCATAATTTTACACTTTCTGTCAAATTCTAATCATTCCTGAAAACTCAGTTCTAATCCTCCTTCTTTCACGAAAACTTTTCCAACGGCTTCTGATGAAATCAGTACCACATTATTGTCCTTGCTTCCCAGGCAAAAATCATTAGATCCATTTACCAAACACTTTATTGGCTCCCTAATATGAGCCAGGCACCAATATAGGCACCTGGGTTCAAGAAATGTACCATAACTCCAGGCCGTAAAGCAGTTCATAGTCTAAAGGCAGAGACAAGAAAATCAATGACTCCAATGCATTGTGGTAATGTACCAGGTAGTCAAAGGAGTAGGGTGCAGAAGAGGGAATGCAATTAAGCAAAGGCTGGCAGGAGACACTGCCAATTTTGAGTTGAGTGAAGTCTAAGTCTAGTTTTAAAAAGAAAGGAACAAGGGAAAAAGGAGAGGGAAGTGTGTCCCTGGCCAAGGGGAACAGCATGAAGGAGGGACTGGAGGCAAAAGATGTATGCTCCACCAATACTTGTAAATTCTTTGGTGAGAATGGGCCAACAGTCTAGTGGGTTCATAAAATGCTAGAAGCAGATATAACCATAAAGACCATTCAGTTCATTCTTATTTTACAGATGAATAAACAGAGGCTCATAGCCATGAAGTGAAGTGCCCAAGGTCCATGGCTTTGGCCAAGTCAATATTCTTCCCAAGACATTGCCTTGTCTCTTTAGGCCCATGTTTGCGGTGCATCTAAAGTCCTGTTTGCTGATTATTAAATAAAACACAAATTCAAATGAAACTAGCATGGCATTATAAAAATACTGGGTTTCAGGAAGAAAGGTTTCCAAGTCTATTTCTATTTCCAATATACAGGGTAACCTTGAGCAAGTCACTTTCCTTCACAGAGTCTCTGTTACTTTAGGTGTCAAAAGGCTGAATTACACAATTTTGAGTATCCCTTCTGGCTCTCATAAATCATTCTCTAAACATATTACTATTTAATAAAATGTATGACGTGGTCTTTGGTCTAATCGCACCTTGCTTTTCATTTCTCACAAGAAGCAAAGGTCGTAAGACTTTCTATTTATTCATAACCTCAGTTAAATGGTTAATATGTAGCTGAAATGCCCAACAGGACAGCAAGGAAAAGGGGAATCAACGTGGGCTGGAGAGGTTTGGAAGAAGGTGAAATCTGAACTGTCCTCTCTAAGAGGTAAGGACATGGCCAGGAAGACAGGAGGTGCTCCAGGAAGAAGGAGACAGGAGCAGAGTCGAGGAGTCCTGGCTATACATGGGGCCTTGTGGGAACCAGGCAGGTGGAACAGGGTCTGGATGGGGAGTGTGGCAGGCAGTGGGGAGCCCAGATGGAGGAGATGGTGGTCGTGCCAGCCTACAGTGTAGACTTGATGCAGGAGCCCAAGGGAAGGTGTAGGAGATTGATCTGGCCAACAGGGCGAGTAACTGTCTAGGAGACTGTTTCATCAAGCACAGAATGGGCCCTGAAGGTTCAGACTTAGGGAAACATTCCTAGCTTTACATCCTTCTTCTGTTTTGACTAGGTGTTCCATAATTACATAATAAATTCCCGGAACTATAAATGGTAACAACATGAAACACTAAAGACCTAAACAATGACCATGTTGAAGCAAATGATATTTTAAGCATTAATAAAAGGTCTGATGAAGATAAACAGCTCTCTGGCTCCCAGAAGGCTAAGAGTTGAGAGATTTGCTCAGTTGCTTCTTCTGCCATCCGTCCTCTCTTTTCCTCTTCTGTATCTCAGTTTCTATATTTTGTCTTATGTTAATTGGATTTGATCTCATCACTCTGATGTGTTTAGGGTAAACTACCTCAAATTCTCTTTGGAGGAGGATGGAGCATAAATAAATTATTATTAAAGTTTATACGGATGGATGCTCGCTCTTCAATACCACGTAATAAATAATGACAAAGTAATTTCATGCATCCTGCACTTTTTTTAAAGAGAAGTTGATTATAAACACAATCACATTAATCCCAATTCAAGTTAACAATCCTGCATTTGTACAGCATTTTAAGGATTATAAATCTTTTTTAAAAATTGTGGCAAAAGATACATAATATAAAATTTACCATTTAAACATTTTTTAAGTGTCCAATTCAGTGGTATTAAGTACATTCACGATGCTGGGCAACCATCACCAGAACTTTTCCATCATCCCAAACTGGCACTGTACTCACCAACCACCAGCTCCCCGCCCCCCCCCCCCCCCCCCCGCCCCCACAGTCCTTGGTAACCTCTATTCCACTTTCTGGCTCTATGAATTTGCCTATTCTAGGTACCTTGATAAGTGGAGTCATACAATATTTGTCCTTTTGTGTCTGACTTATTTCACTTAGCATAATGTTTTCTAGGTTCATCCATGTTGTAGCGTGTGTCAGAATTTCATTCCTGTCTTAGGATGACTGTTTCTCATTGTTTCTATATACCACGTTTTGTTTATCCATTCATCTATTGATGGATACTTGGGTTGTTTGCTCCTTTCGGCTATTGTGAATAATGCTGCTATGAACATTGGTGTGCAAGTCTCTGTTTGAGTCCCTGTTTTCAATTCTTTTGGGTATATACCCAGAAGCAGTATTGCTAGATTATATGGTAATTCTATTCCTAATTTTTTGAGAAACGACCATACTGTTTTACAGAGAGGCTACACCATTTTATATTCCTACCAGCAATGCAGCAGGGTTTCAATCTCTCTACACCCTCATCAACACTTATGATTTGCCTTTTTTTTTCTGGTAGCCACCTTAATGGTGTGAAGTAAAGTTGTTTTTTTAATGTGTACATTATCTTCCTTGATCCATTCAACGCTAGACAAAGAGCTCCTCCAGGGCAGATGTCCTGTCTTATTCATCCTTGTCCCCAGGCCTTACACGTAGGTAAATTCTCAATAAATGCTTATTAAATGGATGAATGATAGATTGAAGGAACAGACACCAATTCTCTGTGCAAAAGTAGACACTAATTGTTATTCTCATTTCACGGAAGAGGAAATTGGGACTTAGAGCATTAAATGACTTGATTGAGGTCAAAGTGCTGGCTAGGCGCTGCCAGCAAGAGGTCACGTCTGGGCCTTCTAGCTCTAAAACTAGTGATAAGGGACCTGATGTGCCAAGGGAGAATAGCAGTGCACTGAAATAGCACCCAGTATTCTGAGTCTGGAGCAGAGGTCCATAAGTGACAGGGCCTGCACAGGAAGGAGACAGAGAAGCAGGTTAGAGAAGAAGGGCTGGCTCAGGCCATCATTCGTTGATGCTTAGGATTCAGGGAATCTGGCTCCAATCTCAGAGCCTTGCTGCATAGGCATATCTGCTATCCACACATAACAAAGCATCCTGTGAGAGATTTCTGGAACACCCAGGAGACTGCTGGAATACTGCTGATACGAAAATCATTACTACTCCAATTCACAGGAAAGGGTAGTACTGGTACTAACTCCAACAGGAACACCCAAGTAACTTGATAATCTTCAGCAACGAGAAGAAATTGTGGGGCCAGCCCCATGGCTGGGTGGTTGAGTTCGCGCCTTCTGCTTCGGCGGCCCAGGGTTTCATTGTTTTGGATCCTGGGCGAGGACATGGCACTGCTCATCACACCACGCTGAGGTGGCTGGCATCCCACATGCCATAAATAGAAGGACCCACAACTAGAGTATACAACTATGTACTGGGGGGCTTTGGGAAGAAGAAGAAGGGAAGAAAAAAATGAAGATTGGCAACAGATGTTAGCCCAGGTGCCAATCTTTAAAAAGGAAAAAAGAAGAAGAAGAAATTGTGAAGTAGTTAATAAGCTTCCACTGCTGCAAAAATGAAATTCTCAAAGATAAAAAACATGTATAAAATAGTCAAAGATCAAAAATGCTGAGAAGAGACCTACACTTTCTCTGCCCTGTGCACTACTTCTGCGGACCTATTTGCGCCTTTAGCTACCCAGCAGGCATCCCTTCATTCTATTAATCCTTTTCCTCCCGAGAGAGTTTGTTTGCTTATTTACTATGATAGAAACATATTGCTTTCTAGGATTCTTTAGACCTACATCTGCTGGATCAAATAAGTGTTAATACTGGGCTTTATGACTTAGACCATCAGACCAACCAAGACTGATGCATGCAATGCATATGTTTCAGATCACATGATTTATCAAGGACTTTAGAATTGACTCTTTACAAGTTCTGTTAGAAGAAAAATCACAGTATAGCAAAACTATTTCTAACTCCTAACTAATGATTCACTTATTTTAAGTAATACTCAACATAATCCCAAGCAGGCCTATAATTGCCTCTTAGAATTGGTTTGAGTAGGATTTGAACCACATATGCTCCATAAAGCAGGCAATGAGCACTTAGCAATGATTAACTATTGAGAAACGGGAAATAGAGAATTATATTTTAGCTGTCCCTTACATACCAGCACAACCAAAATTAAGGGCAAAATTTCTAACACAAATGATTGCATCTGGGCCAGGCACGTAGCCCCCATGTCATAGTCAATAACCATTTTCTGAATATCTCCATGAGCTGCAATTTTCTTCTTTTCGTCTCTTGGTTCCATCTCTTGGATCCATCATAGGATCCAAATCGTTTTGCTCAGTTTAGGTAGCTGTGGCAAGGCTGTGCCAATTGTTTTTTGGGTTTTTTCTTTCTTTCTTTTTCTTTTTTTTTCCTCCTCTATTTTTTATTGAGGTTATGATAGTTTACAACCTTGTGAAATTTCAGTTGTACATTATTACTTGTCAGTCATACAGTAGGTTATGCCAATTGTTTTCTAAAATACAGGTATTAATCAGACAGCATTCAAGATTGTCCCTATACAAATGTCACTCAGTCACTCAATTTGGAGAAGCCTCCTGAGTAGGAGAGAAGGAGGTGGAGTTAGAGGCGGCCCCTGGGGACTTGCACAGAATGCTGTATGCCCTGGAGTGTGCAATGTGGGTCTGATCTGCAGGGTGGGAGAGGAGAAAAATGCTGAGGGACACTGTCAGGGAGTGGACCGGGACACTGTCACAGGGCTGTCTGAGCATTTGCAACGTGGAGAGAAGACCTGTGCCAGCCTCACTCCCACCCTGAATCCTCTCCCCCAACACCCTCCCCCGAGTAAGACCCACCCTGTCCACAGCACAGCTCTACTGGACCAAGGAGGGACCCAGCAAGCAGGGCCTGCCTCTCCAGGACTGTCCCTGCCCCCGAGGGCCCCTGCTGAGGGGTGGACGGGCACATAAGAGACACCCTTATGTGCTGATGTGGAAGGAGATGACCAGTTAAGGAGGGCCTCCCCTGTGCAAAGGAGAAGAGAAAGGGACAGAATGGCTTCTGGGAATGGCCTGCAGTGAGTGCCTCTCTCTGCTGTCAGTGCCCTCATCTCCCAGTTCTGCGTGTAGCAGTATGGTTGCATCCAACTGCCGAGGTCCTGGAATGAGCGAGGATGCCGGACGGTGCCAAACCACAGGAGCAGGAGCGAGAGCGTAGGAAAGGGCTGGTGTGCCTCCAGTGTCAGCTTTGGGGCCATGCTGGCATCAAGGGAGAAGCACACTGGGGCCATTGTACTGCAGATGAGGCTTCTGGAAACGAAAGCTTGAACATTTGATGAATATGGGAAACTTTCAGCAGAAATTCAGTTTTCCCAGCAGTTAATACGTATTCACTCCATGCAAGGCATTGAGGGGGTTCTCCAAGGGAACTGGAGACGAGCAGGATGTGGTCTCCACCTTCAAGAGGTCTGAGGACTCTCAAAAGAGTAGGGGAAACAGATCCACAGACAATTTATACAGCGACAAGATGACACCGACTGTTATTGACATGTGACACCCAGGGCTGGGTCCACTGGTGAGGACGAGGAGGATTCTGGCCTTTGGGGCATTTAAGCCCCATCCATTCACTGGTTCATAAGCGCGTATTTGGATATTCCATTTCGGACATGCTGGCTTCAGACTGATGTGACACATTTAAGTGAAGACATTCAAGTTTGGAGCTCAGAATCTAGACTAGAACTATAATCAGGGTCTAAAGGCAATGGGTGAGATCACCAAGGAGCAGGTGTGGTGAGAAAAGAACAGCCAAAGGAAGTGCGTGGGTGGGAGGGGCTGGCAGGCAGTAAAGAGGGAGGAGGCAGCCAAGGAGCTGTGGCATTACTTTAACGGGAGATGCTGTACTCACAGAAAATGCATCTCCAGAGATGTGAAACAGCAGGTCGTTCTAGAGCGATGATGCTGGGATGCAGCATGAAAACCGCCCCTGCCACGGAGCGAGAGAAGCTTTCTGCAGCCCGTGGGCATGAGATGACGGCCGTCCACCCAGCCCGTGAGGACTGCCTGAGCCACGCTCAGCACTTCACACACGTTATTGTCACTGTATTCAGTGCTCACTGCACCCTTCCAGGCGGGAATTACTGTGGCGTGCAGAGAGGCTGGGTCACTGCCCAGATCACGTGGCCAGAAGGAGGCTGGGCCAGGATTCCACCCCATCTCTCTAGCAGCCTGGGGCTTGCATGAAGGCTCACCGGTTTCAGAATACACAGATGTGGTGTGCCTGAATTCACAGGACAGGGCCTGTGCAGGGTCTGTGAGGAGATGTCCTAGTGGACAGAATCCAGAAAGAGCAAATTAAGCTGAACAAGCCAAGCCTGACACCATGTCGACTTGCTTCCGTTGTGTTAGGTGTTGAGTCAGTCAGTTACCACACCCGTTTCTCCCTGCATGCTTTCAGTAACACTTGTCTCTTCTTTGGGTCTCTTACACTTCTCCTATCTCCCAGGTTCTCTTGTGCTTGGGATTCAGTCCTTTTTCCCCACGACTAATGCTACATGCCCTCTTGCCCTACTCTCTCATCTTCTTGCCTGCATCTGCTTCTCCCTCTGCCCTTTCTCCACCTGATCTTGTCCCTTCGAAATCTAACATGCAAATTGCAATTACTCTCATTTTTCAAATTTACCATCTTGATGTCACAGTTTTCTTTTTCCAGTATTTTCCATAATTCTCTAGTGCTCTGCGAAGCAAATTCATGAGATTGAGATCCAAAGGCATTTATAAGTCTAATTGTAATGCTCTTTGTTCACAAGAAGCTACTGTGGACACTGAGGGCAAGGCCATACTGTCTTCCTTCTTTGTGATGGTCCAATCAGCATCACCACCATCATCTCGTTTTATTTGCAACTAATTTCAAAATCTTCACGCACTCTTTCCCAATAAAAGAAACTGAGTGCTCTGTTTGATACCATCAAGCCTATCATTCTCTTCCTCTCCTTCCGGGGTGGGATGGAGAGCCAGCCTCCTATAGGAAATCCTCCCAGATGGGCAAAGGAGCCTCCCAGACTTCTGCCCCCTTCCCTGTGTGGCATGGGCTTGTGTGGGCACTGGGACAGGCATTCTGAGCCACTCTCCTCATCCCCATCTCTCATCCACACTCTCTCCCCTCCTCCCATCAGAAGCCACACATTCTTCACCAATCTCCTGACTTACTTTTGAAATCATTTATCTATCTGAAGTGTCCATCTCCATAAAGGATGGTGTGAACATGTGATTTTTATATGTATTTGTCAATGTTTGGATCAGTTTGTATTTCTTGTGTGTACCGTCCTATGGCTTGGTGCATGTGGAATACACACATGCTGACATGTGGACCTATGCGGGCCTAGTTCCAAATGACCTGAAAGGAATATTGTGGTAACTGAACATTGGCACGTAAATGCAACATACGGATATGATCCCTGGGGGGGATGTATGTGGGACTGCCCTCGGGATTTTATGTTGCCTAGGTAAACCGGGGAGGTGATTTGCACTGTGCTAATAACAAATCAGCTTATTTATGGGTCACTGTGAGTGACTCCCTTACAAGCTACATTACAGAAATATTTGTCTGTGGTCTGACATCCATGTGGCACTATAGTCTGAGTTGATAATAGCTGAGCCACCCTCTCTATAGGTAACATATGAGAAGAACGGCATGGTTGAAAATATGCTAAAGGGCTTAAAGAAAGCAATTACAAAACCTCCTAAAAATCTAGTTTGAACTAACAAGTACAACAAGTAAACTGTGTTTACAGTTTCAAACTCTGATTCAGTAACCTTCTTGAAAACCACTACCTGGTTTATTCCTTTTACAATAACAAACCCAAAGTTTTTATTTTACTAAAGTATATGGGTTAATCCTTTGTTTTCTGTCCTTTCTGAAATATGTATAATTACAAAATCACTCCATACCACCTCTGCTGTATGGTAATGTTTGGTCTATAAGGAGGATGCTAGAACACTGGGGGAGCAAGAAGCCGAGTCCATAGAGGATTTATTTATAACCTCTTTGCTTCAGTAGAAAGCTACATTCTTCTGGTTTTGTCTAGTTATGTGCATTAAGTATTTCGAATGCAGAAAACAGCTCAAAGAGGACATTCATGCTGATTCGGGCTCACAGTTGATCATCTGAGTAAATGACCTCAATTAAACCGAGGAGGCGAAAGGAAGCACTTCCTGGAGCTACCACGCAACACATTCGGGCGGGACCCATCACCTTCGCGAACACCCCGGGGTGGTGGCGGAGCCGCAGGCCACTGGGCTTTGGCAGCGACTCAAAGAGGCGCAGGGAACGCACTCCAGCGGGGTGCGGGGGCGGCCCCGGGCTGCGGCGTCCCCGCCCTCCGCCGCGAGCCCCTGATTGGGTCCGCACCGTCGCCCCCGCTCCAGCCGGCTCCCCGCCGGGGCAGCGAGCCCAGCCGAGCCGAGCGCGGGCTGCCGGGTCCTCGCCCAAGATTTAAAACGAGCAAGTTTTGTTCTTGAGACCAATGACTGTCGCTCCGATGTTGGGAGGAAAGCCGACGCCTGCTTTAGGAGTTTAACAAGCTGGGGTTACACTTGGTGAGTTTTGCTTTAAGCTCTCTTTGAAATTATACTGGGTTTGAAGGTAAAATCATTGGCGAGCGGGGTGATCCCCTCTCCACTGTAGTTTTGTAACGAACCGCTGTAGTGAAGCTTTAGTTTGCTGTAAATTAGAGTTTCCTTTCTTTGTCATTTAGGTCCCCAGAAGCTCAAGGCGTAAGTGGTGTGACAGGAGATCTTTACAAGGCTAGCCTGCCCTTAGAACTCTTGCTCCAAAAAGGAAAATAAGATGTTCAGAGAACGGCAACTCAGTCCAAACTTACCTCCCAGAGATGAGGAACTGTTGCTTGTTCTGAACGAATGCATCATTAGTCCCACACACTGGACCTAATGAAAAGTGTATTGAGACCAGTTGTTTCATATGGAAACGCATCTATTAAGAGGTGATCGATCGTCTGATTAAAAACATTGCTCTGCAGCCGACCGCATCCCAGCTGGGGCCGAGGCCCCTCGTGGGTGGAAATCTTGTCTTCCTTCCGGATCGCCGAAAGGGGGAAGTTCTAGCACGCTCGGCGGGGATAAACCTCATCTCCTCGGATGGTTTGTTCTTTGTGCCGGGGACCGGAGACGGGCTCCCTGGGCGTGCAGGGAGGGCTCCGGGCCACCGAGCCTCTGCCCCGCCCTGCCCGGTCCCTGCCCGGCCGGACAGCCCCGCCCCGCGGCGCCGCGCCTCCTGGCCGGAGCAGCTCTCGGGCTCCGGGAAAGGAGACTCGGGGTCTCTTCTGCTCCCTCTTGGTCCAGGTGAGGGCTCTGAAGGGCCGAGAGGGGAAGAGAGTCTCCAGGAGGCGACGGCACGTTCTTCCACTCGGGGCTCCAGGACTGTAGGTTGGGACGCGCGCGGGGGCCGGGGAGCGCCGCTGGAGAGGCACCCGGCCCGGCCCGCTGCCCCGGCCCGGCGTCGGGAAGCTGGGCCGGCCCTGCTCGCCGCGGGGGAGCGCTGCCCGCGGCCGAAAGCGCGGCGGGGAAGGAGGGCGCCTTCCCTCCCCGGAGCGCCTTTGTTCGGCCCGGCCTGCGGGCGGGCGCCCGGCGGCCGTGACCCCGGGCCGAGCCGTCGCCCAGGTGCGCCAGGTAGGCTGGGGGCCCCGGGGCTCCGGTTGGGGTCGAGATTCCCGGGGCCGGCGGGGTTCCCCTCCCTACGGGGCTCCCGGGAGGCGGCCGCCGCGCCGCGATGCCGAAACCGGCCGGAGCGCGGGAGTCAGCGGGCGCACGGCGCGCCCTGCGGGCCTCGGTTTCTGGCCGGGGGCTCCCCACCTGGCTGCCGCCCTGGGCTGCCGGGGTGAATTCGGGCAGAAGGCCCGCGTCGGGGTGGGAATTAGAAAACCGCCAGACTGGGGCAGCTTTCGGCGAGTTACTGGCAGGGGAAATGGAGACGAGGAAGTGGGCAGGCCCGGGAAACTAGGAAACGAGACCTCTCTAGCGGGGAGGTCTTTCTACTTTTCTTTGATTGTGCAGAATTTTATTTTGCATCCTAATGTGACAGAGTCAGTTGCGCTTACTCAGATACTGTATAGGTCAAACTAGCAACTTTGCATCCGACTCTGACTACACACCCTACAATTTTTTCTTTCCCAGTGTTGGTTTTCATAGGTTATGGATCGTGTTAAAGGGACACCAATGTCGTAACCGCATAGTGGCTTAGTGGCAGCTAGTAGCTCATATTTAGGGTAATTCTCTGATGAAAGTACATCCATTAGAATTGGATTTGTTCCTCTGTGCCTTTATTTTGGGAAACTTTGCCTGGTCCCTATGGGGGAAGGGAGAGGGATGTAAGAAGATGAAGCTGACCCAGAAAAGGATGATTGAAGGTACTTGTATTTAGTGGCCATCCTGAACTTTCTGAAAGGGTGATTGGTGATTAGCTGCTGAGGTTTTAACTTTCTCCAAAGAAACTTAGGGTAGATTTTAGTTCTTGTCATGGGGTGGCTCTCTGTGTCCTTTACTCCTTCTCCCACAGGCATGCCCCCTCAGTATTTATTGAGCATCCTCTGAGGAGGAAGCTGACTCATTCTGACCCATCTCGGTCTTCAGGGGATCATGGTGACACCTGAAAATGGGGATGAGTGTTATGACTCATGTTCAAGCTGAAGCTCAGAGAAGCTGTTCCTGAGGAAGTGAGAAATGAAGGATGATTGGGAGACATAGATGATATTCCACATAAAGTGCTTTGCCCACACACACAAACACATACACACACAAAACTCAGAAGGTGGGGAAGAAGTTTCAAAGTAAAGTGCAGGCTCTGGCAAGTAAAAATGTCAAGTTACATTTCCTTAAAATCGAGATCAATTTTCCCTTTTATGAAAGACTGGTTCAAATGATGAGATTGTAAGAAAAGGAAATAACTTTCTAATTCTTAAATATAGAACAGCGTGAATAACAACACATGACCCATTTGAAATGGGTCATCTTTTAAAATGGGTCACTTTGGCTAGAATCACTGCACTTGGTGACTTTCAAATTGTAGAGTTGGAGTTCTTTCTGAGGACCAGCTGCACTAGGAGCCACCTAACAGAACATAGGATGTGGTAGAAAGAGACTGGGAGAAATTCAGGAGGAAATGGTCTCTTCTCAAAGTGACAGAATGAATCCTGTCTTTTAGGAATTTTGTATGCGTTCCACTCAATAGGTCTAAGATTTGCGTTTTATGGCACATTATACTACCTTTTTTGGATTATTTTTATAGCCATTATTTTATTCCATTGTTAGAATGATCTTGTGAGGAGATGCACACATTTTATCTATGTTCCAGAAATTGAGGAATAGCAAATTATTACAAGAGCTCTGCCATTTGACACAGAATCCCTGCCAGCAAAGATTTAGCCGGAACAGTGTAAATCTAGAATGTTTTTCTTATAGTATGCATATATATAGGTGCTATAAGAATCTTCATATTTAAAGGTTAAAAAAATTGATCAGGTGAGATGTAAACTTGAATACACAAAAGTGATTTTGTACATTTTAATGCTGGACATTATGAGGCTGGCTTTGATCTGTAACTTATTTTTTAAGATTTATCTTTCACAGTGAAGGCTATAATGCTAGAAGTTAAAACTAAACTTTAAAACTGAAGTTTCAGTTTTCTACAGAAAGGAATGTTCTTCCAAGTCTGCTGGCAATAAGCCCCCAAAAGTCTGAGTTCAAAGTACTATTATACAGCTCAAGATCTCCTCAGATTTCATATTTTATCTCTTTTATTCCTTTCCTACAACTCTTCCTACAACTTTTTGATAGTGCTCTACGCAAAGTAAGTTTAAACATTGTCTCAACTCCCATTTCCTTCTCCATAATTTACAGGGCTTTATAATTTTTTGGCTGTGACATCTTCACTGAAATGTATTTTGAAGCGTTTGTGGGAACCACATTGTTCTTTCCTGTCAGGAATAATGGAAGACCATGTTCCGTAAAACAGGGATGATAACTTCTGTTCTCAGTCTCAACAGTATTTGGGGTTTGTTAAGTGGCCCTTAGCAATCAGATCAGTATTTTTAAAAACTCATATCTAATAAATATTTTTTTGAGAAGAAGGATATTAAGAGTATAGCTCAGCATTTTAAAAGGAAGATAACCCCTAAAGAATATTAGCCATCTACTAACTAAACCATCCTGGTAAAGATGCTTGAACAATTTCTAGAGAAGAGAAATTAGCATATATTGAACACTTGATCTGGACCATACCTTGTCAATAAATTATCTCAAATGATCCTCAGAAAACACTGTGTGGTACATGGTTTAGAGATAAGTGAAGCTCATGTGACCAGTAAATGGAAGCACCAAAATATAAATCTGCTTTTGTTCACATTCTAAAACTCTTGGCTTTTCCTCTCGCCTCCTTCAGGTCCAGATTCCAGGTTGCACCAGAACATTTACTCACTCTGGTAGGAGATCTGCACAGGAAACACCTCTGCAGCCTTCCCAGCATCCTGTCTGTGGCCCACCACGCAGTACGTGATAAATTAATGTTTGTTGAGTTAATTAAATATAGCCATTACCTACTTTCAGGGCTGCCCAGCATAATGCTTGGAACAGGGTAGGTGCTTAATAATCGGTAGTTAACTTATTATAGGAAATGTTGATCAACTGAGACAGAAACGTGTTAAATATACCTCTTCTGTTTTATGCTATCATTTATTTTTGTACTCTGTAAACCTTCAATCAAATGTTGTTTCCAAATATATGGGACATATATTTGTCCCAGAATGAGACATCAATTGCCAGTGGACAACAGGCTTATATAACAGATTTATACTGGGTTATATTGTCACCTTATTTCTAAATCACTGTTTTTTATACCATATTGACCTCAGCTGTGTACGACTCTTCTTTCATTTCATCCAATACTTGCTTAAAGCATCCCCTCTGAGTCCTATACTTTTTACTTTCCTCTCTTTCCTTCCTCCCCACTTTTTTTTTTTTTTACCTCCTCTGCCACTTTGGATCTCCACCCTTAAATCCCCCAATCTTCTTTGTGGAGGAAAGACTTTATGTACCCAAAGGACACAGACTCACAAGGCCACTTATACCCACTGTCTATGCTACTGGGATCAAGAAAAGAAAGGGAAAATTGAGATGGAGGGTTTGGAAAAGGGTACGTTAGTAAAGAAAATGAGAACAAACTGACAAAATGCATGTGGTAGCAAAATATAAATGACTCCAAACTTCAGACAGTGAAGCAAATTCTTTGCCTTCTTGGGTCACTTCTCTTGGCCCTGCCCCACCGGCTTCCCTGCCCTCCCATCCTGATGGGAGCTCCAGGAAGAGCAGCTGTGCCAGGACCAGGGAGGAAGGGCAGCTGAGGTGCTCAGGGATGGGGCTCGGAACCCATCAGCTGCTTCTGAGCTGCAACAAGGTCTGGAATTTTATGGAGGTTACATGGGTAACCCCATGTCTCGGTGCCTCCGTTTCTTCAAGATGGGGAGCTCATTTCTCCCTCATAGGTTGTTGTGAGGCTTAAAGTGTTACTATACGTGTACAGCATTCAGAACAGAGCCTGGTGCACGGTCAACACATCCATGTTAGTAACTGTTGTTAGAGTGGGCAAAAGGAGACAGGTGTTCTTCAGTAGGCAAGAACACAACTGACAGGAATCATTTAAAAGACCAAGCAACCCTGTCAACCCAAACAGCTCGACAATGAATACAGAGAGCCAAGCTAAGAAAAGCAAGTCTCTGATCTCTGCGACCTACTGTATATTTCAGCTTTTTTGTTTGTTTCAAATTCTGCATAATCACACTGGTTACTGGGAATTTTTAGTGACTTTTAATTAACTCCTCTGAAGTATAATAAGACTCTATAATCCCTTGTCACCAGTACCTTAGTGCTTGTATTTACTTAGGGCCTGTCTCCTTGTTTACTTGATATTTCCCTGTCTCACCAGCAAACAGAAATCTACACCCATGTTTAACTTATTAAAAAACATATAGCTTAATTTATGTGGGCGGGGAGCTTGTTACTGGATTCATACTGTAGGTTTTACAACCCAGGTTTTCCTTCTGTCCCAGCTCTATGCTTGTTAAGTTGGAATTTAAAGTCTTTGGACTAACATTGAATCAAGAACTAACTCTGTAAACGTATTCTTTGCAGAGTGATAACTCCAAGTGGATTCTAATCTTTGTCCTTGAGCCAGTTTTATAGACAAAGTCACAGCCACAAAACACCTGAAGACAGCAGTTGGGTAAAATTTGTCCTTTTTTTACAGGCCTTATATTGGAAACACTCAAATTTGAATTAAAGAATAAAATACCAAGTGAGAGAATATCTAATTTTTCACACTTAAAATATGAGTTGTAAATTCAAATTTTAGGTTGCTTCCTTCTTTCTGGAGCAAATAGAACCAGTTGTGTCATAGCACCAATTACTACAACTAATTTACTAAGAAATACCTATGAAGATCAAGTTATAGCCTTTTCAGGCTTTTTATTCCTGATTTCTTTTAACATGGCTGTTTGGCTCCTGAGGATTTGTCCTCATTATGTTTAACAGAGAAAAGATGATCAAAACAAGCCAGGAAAAAAATACTTGGAATGTAGGACAAAATACAACATAGGGATGGGACGGAAATGTTATCCCTCTGTCCTTTGAGCTATGCCTGGACAGGAACCAAAAATCATCTCTCGCGTGGGACTTTAAGTAATACAATTTTAAACGTAAACGGTATAAAGTACTGAGGCTTTCTGAAATTTTAATTGTGACTTACTGGAGGAGCATCATTAGTTTATAGTCGTATTTGTTGCACTTTTAAATTTTGTGCCCCAGATGAGTGCCTCCCTTGCCTCTCCCTAACCCTGGCCCCAACAGTCAGTGAGCTTGTAGAGGGAATGGTCAAGATAGGCGAGCGTGGGAATCCGTGAAAAGGAGGCACAGTGGGGATGAGGTGACGATGTGTCTGATGTCTTCTTTCTTGTGGAGGCAGGAGGTGAAGTCATCAGCTAAGAGCGAGGAGGACCTTGGGAGTGGTGGGGGTCTGAGCATGGCTGGTGAAGAGGCTGGGAGATAAGGAGGTCCAGGACAAGTGGAGGAGGTCACACAACATCGAGTACCCTGCCTACAGCTAGATCCTGCCATTTGTAGTGATGCTGTCTGCCTGGCATGTCACGCTTCTCCAGCAGCCTGGCAGGGTTGCAGGAGTAGAGAAGAAGGGAGTGACCCAACATCTGGGGTTGTTGGGCTGGAAGGACAGGAACCAGGGAGAGGAGAGCAAAAGTGTCAGATGGTTCCACCTCTGAGACAGGGAGGTGGGTGAGAAGAAAGGTCAGGAGATTGCCGGGTGGGGCAAGAGTGCTGGGGGCAGGCACAGGATTCCAGATGAATCTTTAGAAGTTAGGGTTGAAAGTGGGTGTACTGGAGAGTGAGTGTATTGGAATTGGATATTTCAGAGGAAATGCAGTTCTAAATGAAGCCACATTAGCGATTTTCTTTCTGCTAAGTTGTCTTGAGTGTGTGGGATAATGTGAACAAAATGGCATATACGTCATAAAAGGTTTCCTTAGACTTGTGAGTGTTGTACATCTACTAAGTAAGATGTGCAAATATAGTGTCCCTAAGATTAGATGTTGTTAACATATTACAACAATGGCCAGAAACAGTGGTCAAGAAACATATGGATGGAAACAAAAATAAATGCATTTCTGAATTTAAACCCACTGGCCTTCTCTAGTTAACATTACTCAGCCTCAGGTCTCAGATTCAGCGTTGCTTCTCCTAGAAGACGCCTTCCCCAACCTCCACCCACCCCCATCTTCAGCCCCTGCTGTGTGTGCCCCCAGCACAGCTCTCACTGTTTGTTCCATAACTGTCTTCCTGCTTAGGGCTCCATGACAGGCCTTGTCTGTCCTACCTTCCAACTATCTCTACCCATTTGTCACCCCATCTTAATTTTCTGATGAACTAGCCCTTTAAAATAGCTTTTTTTTTTTTTTTTGACTCCTCCCTCTTCTCCTTCCCCTGAGTTTATTTTTCCTCCAGTCCTCTCTGCTTCTCTCTCCCCCTGGAGAGCTCACTCAGACTCATGGCAGCCATCTTCTCTGTGCTCAGAGGGCCCGGATCTTCAGTCCTCCACACCTCCAGTCTCATTACCTCCTGGACTTGTCTACCTGTTGTCTCTCCAGCACCTCACAGTCAACACCAGTCTAAAACCAAACATGTTCCCCCTCACTCCTGACTCAGGAAACCAGTTTTTCCGCCTTTGTCTGTAGTGCTAGAAACTAGATTTCACTCCTCTTTTACCCACCATGGGGGCCACTCCTCATGTCCTGCTGGGTTGTCGTTTTTCTTGAAAGGCTCTTCTTAGCCCTTCCTTCCCTCCCACTTCCACCGCCCTAGACCAGGTCCTCCTCACCTCATCCTGCTTCAGTATGAGGCCCTCATAGAACCGGTGTCCTGAACTCCAGGCATCTTGTGTCCTTCCTACATGCCATTACCAGATGAATCCCTTTTGTATAAAGCTTAATACATATCAACAAGGGAATTATCATTAAAAATAAAAAAGAAAACAAACTTCTGTGACTTCCTGCTGCCCTTGGCACTCACTGACTCCTCTGCCTTATTTTCAAGGTTCTCCATTAGCAGCCCCACCCTCCCCACTTTCAAATACATGCCTCTTTCTCAAATATTTGTCTATTGTGATTCTTTCCCTTCTTGCCTGAAACAGGTTGCTTCTCTTCCTGCAGCCACTGAAATCCTTTTCATCCTCAGGCCCTCCTGATCCAACTGTCACTGATCTCCACTCCTAGGAACGCTCCTATTGTGCCTGCAGTTGGTATTGCCCAAATTGCCACTGACACACTGTCTGTACCTGGTGCTGACTGTTGTCCTTGGGGATCTTGTTTTCATATGGGCACCATGAGTCTTATCTCAACTAAATTGAAGATGTTTCAGCTGGGAGACTATCAAACACTACTTCATGACTCCCACCGTGCCTGACGTAATCATTTACGCAGCAAATACTCACGTACTTGTAGGATTAATTGAAACATCGGACACTGAGGTGGTTTAACTTGAACTTAAAGTGCAGACCTCCTCATCTTGATTAAAACTGCAAGATTTCTAGCAGGTTTTGCATAAAATTTTAGGATCACAAAAATAGACTCAACAAAGAAATGAGTTGACCCCAGGAGTGAACTAGAAAAAAAATGAGGAGTCGTTACAGGAAAACTTGTAGCCTCCAGATGCACTAACTGGTTTTTTCCAAGAAAGTTTAAAGAACTCTCTTGTAAAGAAATATCCTTTTGAGTAACTAAGGGGCACAGCTCCCAGAGTGAAAAATGTTTGGGGTGGGGTCTGCCACCTTCTTTTCTGATGTTCTTACTCAACTTCAATTCTTTATTCTTCTGACTACTTCTGTCTATTAGGAAAGAGAATGCTAAGTATATCTGTTCCTTCTTCTCAATCCAAATAGAAGCAAACCCAAGCTATATTCCACATATCTGCATCTTCTTCTCTATGC